GGGCAGGGGTAGCACCATCACCATCAGTGCTATAACAGCAAAATGACACATGCAACTTTCAACACAAGATGAAGCCCATTTACTTGGCTTGAGGGATCTTTGTTTCCTTGTTAATTATCAACTATTATGAAGTCTTCTTTTAATCATCATCACCATGGTGAAAAGAGTTCTACTCCAGAGGATGGTTGCAAAGAACATTTTGAAAATATTGTAGATTTCTTTTAAGTCTACAGAAGCCAGAGGAGAAGGAAAACAACATAAATATTGCAACATTTCAACTACTTTGAATGCATTTTTACTCAAAACAAGAAATCTGTATGAAGTGTATGTGGTGCAAAGGATGTACTGATGACATGTGCAAGTAATTCAGTGAGGTTTGTAGCCTCTCTCAATCATCATTCCCCCCCCCCAAGTGAAGAGAGTCTCAATTTTTATAAGCCTATTCTGCTGAGGACACTCCTTTCTCCCCAGTAATTTCAGGAGTCCCTTTTGTGTACCACATCCAGCTCTGCATACATGGCCACCGGGTGTCCAACTCTCCTAGCCTTACGATGAGAAGAAGAAGAATAAGGGTTTGGATTTGATATCCCGCTTTATCACTACCCGAAGGAGTCTCAAAGCGGCTAACATTCTCCTTTCCCTTCCTCTCCCACAACAAACACTCTGTGAGGTGAGTGGGGCTGAGAGACTTCAAAGAAGTGTGACTAGCCCAAGGTCACCCAGCAGCTGCATGTGGAGGAGCGGAGACGCGAACCCGGCTCCCCAGATTACAAGTCTACCGCTCTTAACCACTACACCACACTGGCCCCACCACACATGAGCCGAAGATAATTTTGTGTAGCAAAATTGTTGCAGAAATTATGGGCGCCACCCTCAGCCATAACTATGGGGTAGGAATGTATCTCAGTGGCAGAACATCTGCTTTGGAATAGATGCGCCAATGGTGCGACTCAGGGACACGACAGTTACAATATTTTAGGTGTCCTAATCAGTGTTGTTATGAAAGGTTTGGTCTGCCATCTTGGTTCAAAATGGCACCCAATGGCATCCATAGGCCGAAACCTGCTCCGCAATCTCCAAATTTGGCTACAGCACCTTAAGAGGTGTCTGAATACAGCGTGGAGACAGAGAGCTTTCCAAAATATAGAAACCGTTAAGTGCTTTGTAACTATTGGTGGGCACCCGTCTGTCTCGGGAGACAGTGGAGGAGTGCACCTTTGGGGGAGAAGTCAAATCATTGAAGAGTTACAGCGCCTGCTGTGGCTGTAGAGACCGATATGGGAGAGACATGTTTTGTTGCGGCTGGGGAAGATGAAGGTGTCTGGTTGGGCTGATGCAGATGAACCACAGCACTTCTTCTGCCTGTGCTCCCCCCAAATAAAAAGGCCTGGGTCAATGAACTTCTCCAGGGCTGAGACCATAGAGAAGACACCAGGTGAGTCTTTCTCAGGAGGCTATTTCATAGACGCGGTGCTACCACCAGCAAGGACCTTTCCGTAGAAGATACCCAGAACACTGTGCATCACCTGTTTGCTAAGATTGCTAAGGGAAAGGAGATTGTTAGCCGCTTTGAGACTTCCTTAGAGTAGTGATAAAGCAGGATATCAAATCCAGTCTCCTCTTCTGTACATTATGCTGCTTGACGCGAGTCTCCACCTTCTTCTAACTTTTTTTCAGCGCATGTAATCAATTTCCCCAGCTTTGTGATCCACGGCAAGGATGGTATGTTGTAACAGATAAACTATTGAGCCTAGGGTCAGGGCAAAGGTTGCCCTAAGGCCAGGTATTGCATCTTGTTTAATCAATAAACAGAAGGCCGTGTCCCCAGATTTCGACACATCTGTAAAGCCAAACAGTGAGCTTCAGATAATGCAAAGTCCCCGCCACCCTGCATGAAAAAGCTTAGGTTTATTTGCACGCTGGAATCCTCTAGCGGAGCTTCCTGGGAGGAAATCCTAAGAGAGTTGTTTAGCCAAGAGAAAATTCAATTTAAAAGTGACAGGATAAACATCCTTCAGATATCTGAAGGGGTGTCAGCTAGACAATGCAGCAAACTTGGAAAGAAGTGGATTCTCCTTCCAGACTGGGGTGCCACCTTTCAGGAATGTTGTAGAAGAGGCAATTCCGCTTCAGCTGGATGACCTTTTGAGATCCCATCAATTCCAATATTCTATGCAGGGGTGTTGCTTATCAGCAATTAGATGGAAGTTGAATTAAAACAGGACTTCCACACAGCACTAAACGCAATACATTTTTATGTACTTCTCCGTGGCCAAGAGCCTTCCACAATACAGTCATATCTCTTGTTACGTTTGCTTCAGGTTCTGCGTTTTCAGGTTGCGTCTCGCGGCGACCCAGAAGTACCGGAAAGGGTTACTTCCGGGTTTTGCCGCTTGTGCAGACGTGCAAAATGACGTCACACGCATGCGCAGAAGCGGGTTGCGTTCTGCTCATGTTGCGAACGGGGCTCCGGAACAGATCCTGTTCGCAACCCAAGGTATCACTGTAGTTGCTTACAATTATGTAAACTGCATGCAGCTAAGTTCCTCGCTAGAATTAATTGAAGTCTTGTTTGCAGGTTCAGCCTGTTTCAATGTTGCCTGTTGATTTGTCTGGGGTGGGGGGGCTTTAATTGAGCAGTCATTAAAGGCTCCCTCATGGAAACAGAAATGAACACTGGGGTAATTAAAAGAGGCTAATTATTGGGAAACTCTTCACTTATCCCCCAGATGTAACTCACAATGAGGTGGTGAAAGCAGTCAATTAGCCACGTTGCATATATCTGGCAGTCCCGCTTTTAGTGTTTCATCATAGGCACAGATTAAGGACACGAGTGGCACCTAGGACGAGTGGCGCCTAGGAGTGGGAGCCTAGGACTTGTTGATCAGAAGGTCGGCGGTTCGAATCCCCACGACGGGGTGAGCTCCCGTTTCTCTGTCCCAGCTCCTGCCCACCTAGCAGTTCGAAAGCATGTCAATCTGCAAGTAGATAAACAGGTACCGCTCCGGCGGGAAGGTAAACAGCATTTCTGTGCGCTGCTCTGGTTCGCCAGAAGCGGCTTAGTCATGCTGGCCACATGACCTGGAAGCTGTACGCTGGCTCCCTCGGCCAATAAAGCGAGATGAGCACCGCAACCCCAGAGTTGATCACGACTGGACCTAATGGTCAGGGGTCCCTTTACCTAGGCACAGATAGAGAAGAACTAAATCTCACTGTTTACAGAAAAGCATCAGCATTCAATCACAGGTCCAGATAAGGAATGCAAACCCCAGAGTGGAGCAGACCGACAGCATCGTCTGGATGCTTCATAAAAAACAAGTGAACAAATGACGGCAGATTCCAAAAAAAGAAGTTAACATGGAAGCAACCCCAGTGGTTTAAAAACTCCAAGTGCAGCTATGGGGAGGGTGTGGGTCAGAGAATCTGCACCCCTGAAACCTGGGTGAATGCTGAATTTCCGCATGGAGCTTGGCTTCATAGATGAGATGGCTAATATCCAAGAATAGACCCAAACAATAAACTTTCATACTCAGAAGCAGCAGACCTTGGGTTATCAGATGCTGAGGGCAAGCAACAGGGGCTTGGTCATTCCTCCTCTGGTCATTGCTGTGGATGCACAACCAGACTTTATCATGTACGAAGCACCATAATAGCTTTTCTACATAAGCTGCCTTCGTAATCTTTAGAGTAGCCCTAAAAGGCAGTTCAGCATATTTTTTAATTCCAAAATGAAAGGGCTACAGATGCAGAGATTGGCAACCTTAGGCAAGCCATCTGCTGAATGCCTGAGCTCTGAACTTGACATCCCTGGCTCACAGTCCATTTTTATCCAGTCCATTAAGACAAGCAAACCGTCCCCTTGCTTTCTTAAAACTGCAGCCCTCTCCAAATGCCTCTGAATGAAAGTGGGATGGGGAAGGACAATCTTTTGATTTGCAATTCAGGGCAGCCGTGCTCCTGCATCTCTTTGCTCATTTACCTCAGGGCAATGTTATCCTTGGATCGATTATACAATTACATACTTAGATCACAGTATCCTTCCGATGAATTAGTGAATTTATTCCGTCCTTTACTATAACAATGGCTGTGATAACGGCTTCTTTGGCTATCACCAACTTGGCTGTAGCAAGGTTCAAAGTGGTTATGCCCTACTGCACAGGGATGGGAAGCGCATGTCCCTCCAGATGTTGTTAGGCGCCAACTCCCAGCAGCCCCAGCTAGCACGGCCAAGGGGACCTAGGGATGATGGGAGTTGGGAGCCCAGAACTATTTAGAGGGGCACAAGCTCCCCATTCCTGTTCTGTAGGCTCAAAGTCCTTCCTCTCCAGGGCTCCAAAGTGCTGGGAGCTGAACTGACATATGAGGGGAGGGGAGGGGAGAAGGATTTCTTCTCTCATCAGTTAAGTTGGAGGGGACAAAACAGACCTACCCAAATATAAAACTAGCATCTGAGATAAGTGAAAACAAAGCATTCATCAACTAAGATATACAAGACAGCATCTTAAAAAGCAGAGACATCACCTTGCCAACAAAGGTCCGTATAGTTAAAGCTATGGTTTTCCCAGTAGTGATGTATGGAAGTGAGAGCTGGACCATAAAGAAGGCTGATCGCCGAAGAATTGATGCTTTTGAATTATGGTGCTGGAGGAGACTCTGGAGAGTCCCATGGACTGCAAGAAGATCAAACCTCTCCATTCTGAAGGAAATCAGCCCTGAGTGCTCACTGGAAGGACAGATCCTGAAGCTAAGACTCCAAGACTTTGGCCACCTCATGAGAAGACTCCCTGGAAAAGACCCTGATGTGGGGAAAGATGGAGGGCACAAGGAGAAGGGGACGACAGAGGACGAGATGGTTGGACAGTGTTCTCGAAGCTACCAGCATGAGTTTGAACAAACTGTGAGAGGCAGTGGAAGACAGGAGTGCCTGGCGTGCTCTGGTCCAGGGGGTCACGAAGAGTCGCACATGACTAAACGACTAAACAACAACAACAACAAGAAGATATACAAATGTCACCACTTTATTTAGCAGAACCATTACATAAAAATACAAAAATTCCAGCATTTGGAAGAAAAACATTTGCTATGCAGAACTCTGATATACGCGATGATGGCCACATGCCTAAGGTAGGAGTATTTAATGTGACGCCCTCCAGAAGTTGTTGGACTACAACACCCATCAGCCCCGATCACTGGCTAGGCTGGATGGGGCCAATGGGGAGTCCAGCAACATTTTGAGGGCACTGCGCTTGCTACCCCGGCCTCAGAGACAAGTCACTCCTACATTCCTTTCCTACGTAGATTGGGGGAAAGTTACACAAACCAGGTGGGTGTGGGGTGAAAGATTCTTCTTCAACACGGCTGGGTGGGAAATGGGGCTGCATGATGGCTCCACTGTTCTCCACTCACCTATCAGCACACGGTGAGTCAAGTCAAAAGCTCACTAGGCTGTTGCTGCAAGACAGGCAAACCCCCAAAGTGCCAGAGCCTAACCAAGGCGTTCACGCATTCTGTAACTTAAAAAGGAAAAGCAACAAAGAAGTAGTGGAAAACAGAAGGTCAGAAGAACAGTGTCAAGCGGGAACAGTGGACATCTATGGAATGGACTCTCTCTCTTTTCTCCTTGGCCATATCTGCTTTCTACTGCCATGGTGCAGTCCCAAAGGAAACACGGTGCACTATTGAAATAACAGGTCTCATGGCAGGAATATTTGGATTTGGCTTACTGGGACCAACTAAATGTGTGGCATGACATAAAAAGGGCAACACCTGTTTGGAGGCTGGTTCAAACAATAGGTTAAAGTTAACCCATAAGGTACCCTTAGGAAAGAACAAGCGGGTTTATCTCTGCTTGAAGGCAAATGCTGATAGCTTTGCGATGGCAGACTCCTGAATGGAACTGGGTTTTGTGACCGAGCTTGTGTCCTCCTTTGATTTTTTCCCCTGGCCTTCTTGCCCATCACTGTTAACAACTTCCAAGCGCTTCCGCTTTTTCCCTTCCGACGAATCGCCAGCTTCTTTTCCTTTGGCTTTCTCGGTCCAAACCTAGGGCAGGGGAGGAAACCAATTAACTAACGCAGCAGGGATTTGCCATTATTCAGCTATTCAGAGGTAAAGTGCAGGAGTGGGAAAGTGTCACGGAATTCTGTGGAATGGGATACTTCTTCACCAGCACTGAATCCTAACATAATAAGATCAAAAGAGCCTGGCTGCTGCATTAAACCTATAACCCTGGCTTCTCTCAAGGCATCACCCCTAGACCAGATTTCCAACTGCAGCAAAGATGGGGAGATGTTGAGCAGGGGGTGCAGTGCAAATATGACAGTTAGCATGTTGTAGTGATTAGCACTGAACTAGAAGGGACGCAGGTGGCACTGTGGGTTAAACCACAGAGCCTAGGACTTGCCGATCAGAAGGTTGGCGGTTCGAATCCCTGCAACGGGGTGAGCTCCCGTTGCTCGTCCCAGCTCCTGCCAACCTAGCAGTTCAAAAGCACACCAAAGTGCAAGTAGATAAATAAGGTACCGCTCTGGCGGGAAGGTAAACGGTGTTTCCGTGCGCTGCTCTGGTTCGCCAGAAGCGGCTTAGTCATGCTGGCCACATGACCCGGAAGCTGTACGCCGGCTCCCTTGGCCAATAAAGCGAGATGAGCGCGCAAGCCCAGAGTCGGCCACGACTGAACCAAATGGTCAGGGGTCCCTTTACCTTTTTTAGACCTGGAGAGATACAGGTTCAAATCTCTACTACGAAAACTCACTGGGTGATTTCACACTGTTGACTCATGTTAAGCTTGTGGTCTGCTAAGACCCCAAGATCCTTTTCACATTTACTAGTGGCAAGCCAGGTGTCCCCCATCTTTTATTTGTGTAGCTAGTTCTTCATGCCTTACAGTTGTTCCTACTGAAATTCATTTGGTTGGCTTAGGCCCAGTTCTCCATTCTGCTAAAGTCACATTGAATCCCGATTACGTCTTCTGTGACATTAGCTACCCCACCCCCATGCCTGCAGGGGCTGATGGGAGTTGTAGTTCAGCAACATCTGAAGGGTCTGAGCTTCTACACAACCTGGCGTGGCACAACATAGGCCATACTGTGCCAAACATGCAGATTAATGCTTCACGCAGCTACCTCCAAGTTCATTCATTCTGGGGCACGGTAAAAATGCTGGAGCAGGCAATGGAAGAGCCGCAGAACCCAGGAACGGGGAAAGGAAACAGGGGGGCGGGGGAAGGATTTCTATAGAAGAAGAAGCAAATGAACATTCCATGGGGGAACTCCATTACCATCCTTTCTTCAGCAGACAGATTTCTGAATCGACTCATGCCTTCTTTTATTATCTCAGTTTCTTCAAAATGAGGATTATCTGCCCCAATGCAGCTTCTGTTCTCGTCTAGCCACATCTGGAACCCAGTCTTTGGCCTTGAAAAAAGGAGAAGAAGAAGAAGAAGAAGAAGAAGAAGAAGAAGAAGAAGAAGAAGAAGAGGAGGAGGAGGAGGAGGAGGAGGAGGAGGAGGGAGGAGGAGGAGGAAGAGGAGAAAGGGATTCTGAAATGTTCTGCAGCGGAACTTTTGGAACGCCCAGGGAGCTTTCTGGATTAGCCACCCCACAATGGCAATGGGAAAGACAGGGGCTGCCTTCCTGGGACACTGACCTTTTATTGTCACTGCTCTCAGTCGGCGTTTGAGGTGGTTCAGGTGGGGGTGCTTCAGTTCCCCCTCCTCTCTCATCTATGTTCTTCTTTTCAGTGCTAGGTTTTCGGGGTTGGAAAAATGCAGCTGCTGCAGCCTATACAATTAGATACAGATTCCTAAAATTCACAGTGAACATGTATTATTTATGCATTTCAGACCGTAAAATACTCTGGGCGCCCATCTCTTGATGTTAAAACATTTCCCTTGAAAGGGTGTCTTTACAGATAATTTTTTCTCCCAGTCAACACTTTTAAATGCATTATTAACTACGACAGAAGAAGTTAGTGAGACAGCATTTCTTTTGCTTTGTGTGTGTGTGCATTTATTGTTTGTTTGTATGTATTTTATCTTCACCTACTTCCTGTTTCTTTGTATTGAAAAACAAAACAATAGGCATGCCAGGGTCTTAGCTTGTTGACCACGCAACTATAAGTCAACACAAAGCTCACCTGCTTTGACTTCGGCTTAGGAACCAGCGGTTTTATAACTGGACTCTTCTTGTTTGGAGCAACTCGGCTGTTTGGCATGGAATTTTTCTTGCCCTGTTTGGTCATGTTGTCTATGATATTAGCCAGCTGAACCAGTTGATCCTTTTGGCTACTGGATACCTAGTGGAGCAAAATATAAAAAAAAAACCCCTTACTTTCCATCGCTCAGGATTTCTGACAATCTTCACACATTTTACTTAAAATTTGAAGTGAACTAAAACCACCAAATTCTCACCTTGAAGGGATTGACTCGCTTTTGACTGCTGGAAACAACTGCAGCTTTTGTTACTGGAGAGAGAAGAGATAGGGAGAAGAACACCAATGAAACCCTTTAGAAAACACTGTGTATGCCTTTTGGGAAAAGGAACTACAGTAATTGTTTTCATTTACAATAGTTAATTGGGCCTGCTTATACAGAAGTGCTTTATTAATTAATGTTATGTGTTTTTTATTTTTAGGGTTGTATTCAATGCTGTATACATGGGATTCTATTTATAAGCACACCTCAGAGATATTGCAGGTTCGGTTCCAGACCATCGCAATAAAGCTAATATTGCAATAAAACCCAGCTCCAGCCATAGTTTACTCCTATGGCCAGAAGAGGGGCAGCAGCGGGGAGCTTCCTTCCCCTGGCTGGGCTGCCTGAAGTGGCACCCATGTCCTGGTAAGGAGCAATATCCACAAAACACAATAAAGCAAAACACAATAAAACGAGGTTTGCCTGAAGCCACCTCTCCCCATGCTCCACGCAATCCCCCAACTCCTCATAGCTGATTTGGGTTGCACAGTGGGAGCTGGAGGGGAAGTATTACAATTTATTACATCAGAATTAAGTGATGCAAGCATGCTGTTCGACAAAAGGAGAGGAATTGCAGTTGAGCAGCTGACACCAAAAGTTGCACAAACAGGCACAACCATGAATATCTTTTCCTTGCCTAGGAAATAATAATCCTTTTGACTCACCAGATTTGGGAGTAGACACCTTTTCAGAGATTGGCGGAGGCCCTTCAGAAAGATATGACAAATGGTGTATATGTAAGTGCAAACACGAGAAGAGGAGTGAAATTTGAGGCATCTTCCAGGTTAACCATGAATAAGTGCTGTATTATAGTCCTAGTTAAGAACATCAGCTAAGCAAAATAGATGGTAAGTGAGCTACAAAATGCTAAAAGCTAGAAAACACAGAAGACAGACCCTACTTGCTACTTTGATTACTGAGGGAAAAGAGAAGCAAGCTTTTCCTTCCTTGAAAAGGAAAATGAATCAAGAAAAATAAGCCCCAGAAAATAGTTCTTCTTTGAGGAGCCTGTCATGCATTATTTGTCTGCTCTTATCAACAACCCATCCTCAGGACCTGGGAAATATGACAACTATACAGCCTTCTGCCCTGAATACTTGTGTGCATCTGTCAGTCTTACTAGGTTTTGTCACTTCAGATGTGCCTTCCTCCTCCTCCTCCTCCTTCTCCTGCTCCTCTTCCTCGTAGGTCTCCATACTTTGCTGACGTTGAAGGTTTCTGATCCGGGCCTGACCTGATTCTGTGGGGGTGCTACTGTAACTGAAAGCAGATAAATGAACTCAGCAGTCTACTCATTTAGCTAGATATTTAGATAAACAGATAGATAAGAGGCAGCTGCCACACATGTAACGCACTGGGCCATTAGTAAGATTAAAACAACAACTGATTTAGGTCACATGCTAGAAAATATCTTAAAACTGCATACCTAGGTAAAAAGAAGAAGATAACTACACACCCTGGCACCAAAATAAATCAATCAACAAACTTCTGTTAAACTCAGTGAAGGGCTAGGAATAGACAGTGCTGTACCACTGATGAAACTAAGTGTGTGTGGTTGGAAGAAGATATCAATCACTCTGAGGTTTCTAAAAGGATGGAGAGGATACAGGGAAAATATAAAGAAGAGTAACAAATGTTGCACAGCACCTTAATGGACTGTCCTAGAGTTAACATCAAGTTTCTGGTTAAAAGCACACTCTAGCGAAGGTCACTGCCAACACACAACCCTTATCTACAATTAAGGACAGTGGTGAAAATGAAGAAAATTCAAGTGAGAAAGGAGGAAAGTGTGCAGACAATGGCTTAAGGGTTGTATTCACACAGGCCCTTTGTAAATGTATGTATATGTATATATGTGTGTGTGTGTGTGTGTGTGTGTGTGTGTGTGTCTCTGTCTCCAAACCTTTACACTCAAAATGCTATTCTGTCCTAGGAGAGAAAGATAAGCTTAACTCTTGCTTCCAGAACATTCCCAGTTTGTGAAACATCCCAGTCTCTGCAAGAATCAACTTCAAGCCATAAAAAGATGGCTGTATCTCACTTTTTATAGAAAATTTGTTCCTAGAAGAAGAAGAAGAAGAAGAAGAAGAAGAAGAAGAGGAGGAGGAGGAGGAGTTTGGATTTGATATCCCACTTTATCACTACCCTAAGGAGTCTCAAAGGGGCTAATAATCTCCTTTCCCTTCCTCCCCCACAACAAACACTCTGTGAGGTGAGTGAGGCTGAGAGACTTCAGAGAAGTGTGACTGGCCCAAGGTCACCCAACAGCTGCATGTGGAAGAGCGGGGAAGCGAACCCGGTTCACCAGATTACGACTCCACCGCTCTTAACCACTACACCACGCTGGCTCTCAAATGGTGCCTGTTCCCTTTTTAAGCATTGTTTCAGTCCAGGGGTTGAGCACCAGTATAAAGGCTCCCCATTATCCAAGATACTGACAGGGAAGGAACACCACCAAACCTCAGGCACTGGCAGATAGTATATGGGACTGCAAGCCACACAAATGCCCACACTCACTATCTGTCACTAGTACACGCCTACGTGATGAATGAGGTCCCTGCAACTCCTTCACTGCAAAAGTTTGCCAACTGTAGTGTCATTCTGGAATTTCTTTTTACCCAGCATTCAGATGGTTTCGGAAATCCTCTTCCTCCTCCTCTTCCTCTTGCATGCCGTGCTCTTCAGCAGCTGCCAACTCAGCTGCTCTCTCTGCTGTCAGTTCACTGAGCCGCTGGGCGAGATTCAGCCTCCGAGAGCGAGAGGCGTACTTGATAGCTAAGCTCCTGGCATTCTGAGTCATAAGCTCAGCAAGTTCCATGCAGCGAAACTCCCGTTCCAGGGTGCAGGAAAGCTATTCGTACGAAAGGGAAAAAGAGAAACAAAGTCCCATGGTGGTTAGCAAGGGAAGGTTCTCTTGTAAAATCAAGAGAACAAAAGCTATACAGTAGTACCTCCAGTTAAGTAACTCTCTGGTTACATAAACTTTGGGATGCGAAAACGGCAAACCCGGAAGCATTTTATCGGGTTTTGCCGTGCACGCATGAACAGAAGCGGTCCTCAGGTTGCGGAAACCTCGGGATCCAATCAGACCTCCGGAACGGATCCCGTCCGCAACCGGAGGTACCACTGTACTCCTATCCTCCTCCCTGTCACTGGGAAAGCCACCTGCCTGTGGTCATTCTTTTAAAAAGCAGTAACTTTGGTGGGACCCAGCCTGCTACTGGAGTTACACTGCCTTTGAAAACTGTTAGTTTAAGAAGTGGACCTCAACATTTTAAAACTGTACAGGAGACAAGACAGTAATGGGCAGTGCAAAGCTCTGGGGCTATGACACGGCAGACCAAGGAACTATGGCGTATTAGGGTTAGTTTACTGAGGCTTCGCCAGCAAAGGGGGGGGGCAGTTGTCAAGTCACTTTCTTCTCTTGGCATAGGTTTCTCCTAGCTCAGTAAGGCTCCTCTCCTAAGAGCCTCCTGCTCCAACAGGCATTAGCTACTCACACATTAAGCCCCCAGGTACATTCCTCCTCTCTGATCCAACCCCTCCTCACCCTTCTCCATTCTCCTCCCATTCCACATAGTTTGCGCTGTGCCTTGCCTCCATCCCTGACACCTCTGGCTCCACCCACCGCAGCAACTGTGGCTACAGTCACAGCCAGCCCACCTGGGACTTCGCAGCAGCCTGGGAATAGCAGAGGTGTTGGCACTGCCCAGCCACAAGATTTGTGTGTTGATTAAGCAGATCTATCTGCGTTATCTATCCACGCTCAGACCACACAATGTGTGTTGGCAAGCTGTTGTTGTTGTTGTTGTTGTTTAGTCGTTTAGTCGTGTCCGCCTCTTTGTGACCCCCTGGACCAGAGCACACCAGGCACTCCTGTCTTCCACTGCCTCCCGCAGTTTGGTCAAACACATGCTGGTAGCTTCGAGAACACTGTCCCACCATCTCGTCCTCTGTGGTCCCCTTCTCCTTGCGCCCTCCATCTTTCCCAACATCAGGGTCTTTTCCAGAGAGTCTTCTCTTCTCATGAGGTGGCCAAAGTCTTGGAGCCTCAGCTTCAGGATCTGTCCTTCCAGTGACCACTCAGGGCTGATTTCCTTCAGAATGGAGAGGCTGGATCTTCTTGCAGTCCATGGGACTCTCAAGAGTCTCCTCCAGCACCAGAATTCAAAAGCATCAATTCTTCGGCGATCAGCCTTCTTGGCAAGCTAGATCTTGCAATAGTGCGTGCTCAAGCCTAAACGTCCTTTGTATGTTTCAGGGGTTAATAAAGGGTCACAGCCAAATTCCCAAGCTGCAAAGAAATAATGCTATTTTGCTAAGCAGCGTGACATCAAAATGCTTCGAGAGCTGTAGTTGCTTTTTGAATTGAGAACCTCCCTCACTTACCGCAAACATTTTCATCAAGAGATTCTGCTGTTCTTGGGTTGCCTGGCTTTTCACACTTTCATCGTGTTCATATCCATTTTGGGATAAGTAGTCCAGGTAGCGGTGAAACAAGACAGAGCGCCAAAATTGCTCCTGAAGCATGCAGGAAAAAGAAAGGGGGGGAAACATAGTTCAACACGTTGCTGTTTAATCAGGACCATTTGTAGGTCTCGATATTTGCAGGAATTTAACAAGGTCCTGAGATTGCTCTAGTACTTACTATAAACAAGCACACAAATGCACGGCCTCCACGTGCGATGCATGTAAACCGCTTTGAGGGTTTTTACAACACAGTGGTGTATTAAATGAACGAATGAATGCAAACACACATATACAACTACGGGCAGAGCTTCTGTACTTTTTCTGTTCAATACATGCAATTTAATCATGAATTCAACAAATGATTCTGACCAGCCCCACAGATAAGAACAGGAGTTCTGCAGTGCTTTTCTTCACAACAGAGATAATCTGCATCAGAGGTGTTTTATATTAAATGACGTGTCAGATAAACTACTCAAGGAACTCACATGCTCCACTTCCATGCAATACAGACGAAGCAAAAACCATACAAAATGGGTCTTAGAAAAGGAAGCAAACTGCAATCCCTTATTTAGGTCTTCAGTCTTCCGGCTCCAAATAAAGATATATTGTTTTTCCTTTAGTTTTTGGTGCTTGGTATTATTTTGAGTCCAGCATTTGCTATGTGTCACTGCTGCAAGGAATTTGTCTATGACCGCAATCGGTTTTTATGTTAATATTTATCATGTGACGTAAGTGTTTTATGCGGTTATTATTTTTCACATGGGATCCAAACGTATGAAGGGTGAAAAGTGCAATAAATAACAACTGTAATGTTGCTTTCATTAATAACACCATTGTCGTTAACAAACACCCTTTTCCAATACGGATCTACGAACCAAATTCCGAGTTCTGACTACATACACGCTGCAAGGGCTGCTTTAATAATCTGGACACACATGTCAAGAGGGCACGGACGCAAGACAGCCAGCAAACCAAACCAATGTTGACTTTCCCTACCTCCATCTGGCCCTTATCTGTTGCTGTCTGACAAAAAGGAAGCTTGAATGGCAGCACTGCTACTGCAGGACGGGGAAGGGTAGCGGGGAAACGGGCTCCTTTACAAGGGATGCATCTGCAAGGAGGGAAGCACAGAATTAAGATGCACACCTAAAAGCAGTGTCTCTCTCCCCACCCCAGCAGGCTCTGTCTAAAGGAGCAAATCATGCACTCACAGCACAATAAATAAAAGGTACAGCTTTTCTTGCATTCTACAGGTCAGGGAGGGGCAGTTTCTGTACTCTCCCACATCAGAGGGGAGAAAAATGGCATGCATTAGTTTTTATTTTTAAAAAGTAACATATTACAAAGAGTAGAACAAAACTCCAAAAAAGCATTTGCTAAATCTAAAATTTTAGCCCCATTCAATTACACTAGTACAATCAAATCCTTCATATATCCATTCTCATGGGTGATATATTTTTAAAATATAAATATAAAGAGAAACCCTGTATTTAAATAACACACTTTCTGTCTTTTTCTTTCTTGGAAGAGGAAGGAAAACCACAATGACTGTGACTTGCATTCATCAACCCAGACGTATCCTGGGGCTTTTCATTAGTTTCCCTAGAAATGAATGACTCGATGGGGGAAGCAGAAGAACGTGCCGTTTCTGTACAATTGGCCATGTCCACAGATAACAGCAAGATGCCTCCCTGAGTGGTGCAGTGAGCCCAAGCTTAGCTTTATCAGGGGGAAATAACTCAACCATTGGAAGAAAAAGATAAAAGTAAAGCGACCATGTACGGCTGCGCTCTATATCTGCAGGGTGTCTGCAGTAAAAGAGGAGATTCAAGGCAGCCCTAAGGTGATGGTAGTTGTGACAATAACATCACTGAAGGCAAGAGCAGCCTGGTGCAGTAAGATCTGCTTCTCCAGCAGCTGGAGCTTTGTTTGTTAACTGTATTTCCACTTTGAAGGTACATAAGTCTGGATTATTTATTCTGTAACTTATTCCGCCTACCAAACTGTTGCGGTTTTTGTTTTACTTAAATTTATTAGCATGCTTTGTTAGCTTGCTGCTGTTAGAAGCTACTCTGGGGACAGCTCACTTTGGAAAGGTAGCAAAAAATAAACCAAAGCAAGTCAATTAAGGGAAGCCTTAGTTGCACACCAGGCCGTTTAAAGGGGAAAAGACGCTTTCATTGCTAGCAGCTCCACACAGACCTCTTCCCACCCAAGAAATTTAGGCTGGAGGGGCCTGGACTAAACAGGCAGCAGTGGAGAAGGCGTAGACAGAAAGCAGCAGAGGATAAACAGACCGGTGGCTTTGGACAAAACCACCTGAATATTCACGTGCTTTTCCTCTGTATAACCATGCAAACTCTAACTTCCTACCTGAGCTGCTGTGGGTTTTCATGAATGCCCACAATCCAGTAGTGATCTGACTTCCCTTTACAGTGCTCCCTTGTGTCACAGACTGGGGTCCAGGTATTACCAAGTCCTCGGTTTAGCATGCGCACGACGCCCTCTGAATCCGCGTAACAAGGGGTACCTACAAAATCAGGAACACACACACACACAGCGTTGTTTTGAGGGTTCTCTCAGAAGCAGACGCATGAGCTACAGGTAGGATGTTAAATGCAGCACTCCTCTCTGCCTTACTGAATAAAAAAAGTATGGCACATTTTGAAGAGAATCAGGGGCTGTTAACTTTGGAAATGGTGCCACCTTCTGGTAAAGGTAAAGGTAAAGGTACCCCTGCCCGTACGGGCTAGTCTTGCCAGACTCTAGGGTTGTGCGCCCATCTCACTCTATAGGCCGTGGGCCAGCGCTGTCCGGAGACACTTCCGGGTCACGTGGCCAGCGTGACATCGCTGCTCTGGCGAGCCAGAGCCGCACACGGAAACGCCGTTTACCTTCCCGCTTGTAAGCGGTCCCTATTTATCTACTTGCACCCGGGGGTGCTTTCAATGCTAGGTTGGCAGGCTTGGACCCGGGGACGCACCCGCGCTTCGAACCCCCGAGCAATAGGTCGCGGCTTACCCAGCGAACGGCCTCTTCTGTAGTCAAGATTCGGTTTACAGCAAGCCATTGCATTTTAGGCAGCAAGTCATAAGTATCAGTGACCCTTTTTAAAGCTGGTTAGACAGCGACAATGGTGTTACTCTTGCAGGAAGCCACCGTGTCATTCACAAAAGGATCAGTGGGCTTGGGTCCCTTCCCACCCTGGTATCTTCCCTCAAGTTGAGAGATGCTAAGTTTTGCTTCTTGAAAGCTCCTTGTGCAGATCAATCTCCACAGATCTGGGTGTTCACTAATAATGCTGAACTTCCCCCTTAGGACACTGCAGACATCCCCCCTCTTAGGACAGGCATAGGCAAACTCAGCCCTCCAGGTGTTTTGGGACTACAACTCCCATCATCCTGACCACCGGTCCTGTTAGCTAGGGATGATGGGAGTTGTAGTCCCAAAACATCTGGGAGGCCAAGTTTGCCTATGCCTGTCTTAGGAGGCTGTGGACATCTTCAACACCACCAGCAACCAATTTAGCTTGTAAACCAGCCCTTAGGGATAACGGCTTGCACCCTAACTTCCCTTCCACTCATCAGTATTGTTTTTTTATTCAGATTTTTGCCTGCCCTTCACCATCAGGTCCAAGGGCTGCAGTCATTCAAAACTGAATATTAAAATTGCTATAACAAATTATAGTCGCAGAAATAGGGTGAGTTCATGGACCAGGGCTTTCCCTTCTCTCCGTCCCCCCCCCCCAGTCCTGGGGGCTGGGGAGCCTTTGGGAACGATTTGGAATATAGTGCAGATGGCTGCAGGGAAGGTGGCAGAAACCGGCTCCTCTCACTTTCATGAAGAGAAACAGGATCCAAACCGGTGAGCAATATCCAGTTATGTCTATCCACTAACAGAACAAACTTACACCTGTGCAATGGGACTTCCTCTTCTGGTTGCAGACCCCCTTGTACCCACTCACCCCCTCAATATCATAGGAACTTCTAGAATAGAATTGATGGGGTGTGAGAGGGCTGCGGGGGAGAGTAGAGGAATGGGAAGTCTGTCACACAATGCTGCACATTTCCTCCACAGGAAAATGATATCGGCACATCTCAGAATAAAGGAGAGAAGCGAACCATCTTACCTTCTGCTGAAAATCCTAGCCATGTGAGATAGGATTTCCTGGAAAGAGGAAGTGGGTCACCGTGCAAAAGCTGCCTCTTCTTCCTTCCCAGCTCTAGCAGCTGCACCCCAAGACACTGATCCCCTTCAAAGCCAGTACCTATAAAAGCAAGAGGGGTGGGGGCAATTAATTCTAGACCGAAGGAAGTTGCAGGAAAGGAGCTGCTGTTGGTGGGTGAAGATAGCTGGAAGTTGCTGTGTCGGTGTGCCATTTTCTAGGCACCTGAAGGACCTGGCTGAATTTCTATCCCCTGGATAATTTTTAAGCATTCACAGAAATATCTAAGTTCTTAAGTCTCGATTATTCCTTTTATAATATTGAATTTATTCTGTCTGCTAAATTGTTGGTGTCAGGGAACTGCCATCGGCTCAGAGGCGAGAAATAGAAGGGCAGTTGTGTTACAGGGAGCCTCCGAAAATCTTGCGAAGCAGTTCCTTTTCTGGGGAGGAGGAAAGCCCCACCTCCAGTGGGGAAGAGGAGCAAGGACCAGAGGTTGCTGGTGAGAGCCTAAACACCGCTTCTGGGCAGGCCAGACAGGAGGGAAACACGCCCTTGCCATCGCCCATCCTGCGCAGTAGTTTGAGGCGTAGAGAGGGGAGGAGACTTCGGGGGTAACAAAACTCTTATGTTGGGGGAGGTCCAAAAAGAGACCACTCCCAGATTCTGCTAGCGACTGAGCCAGACATGAGCTTTGGGGCTCTTCACTGTAAATAGTTTGCACCAAAATAAAGCCTGTAAAACACAGATCGGGAGTCCTGCCTGGTTACTCTCAAGCAACCGCAACAGCCATCTGACAGCTGGTTTTTGTCTTACTTGAATTAAATGATATATTTTGTTAAGTGGCTTTTTGTGGCAGGACTTCTCCTTCCTCTCTCCTCCTCCCCCCAATACCACAGCCTTCCATCCTCCCACCCCATCCTCCCCCAAGTCTGCTAAGGAGGGTTCCCCAACCTGAAGGGTGGGGTCTGTGAGGGAGAAGAGAATCCATCCTGTCAACCTGCTAGCAGATGGATACCGTCAGCTTTCACCCTCATTATCCTAAAACAATTCCAGTGAAGCCTAAACTTCATTGTGGCAAGACAGGGGTGTCAGAGAGACGGGTGGTGTAAAGCCAGTAGTAAAATTACAAACAAATGGAAGTCGTTGGGCATGTGATGACGGCTCACTTTAGAAATGCAACCAGATTAACATACTGAACATTTCCCCATTCGAAATCAAAGCATGATGCTTCTATGGCATTTTTTGAAACAGAAGTTGCAGCGAAAAAGGAGGTGGGGAGGAAACATACCGTATTTTTCGCTCTATAGGACGCACCCGACCATAGGACGCACCTTTTTTTAGAGGGGGAGAACAAGAAAAAAAAATATCCCCCTCTCTGCTCAGCGCCCCTTCAGCGAAGCGGCAGGAGAAACGGAGCACCTTCCATTTCTCCTCCCGCTTGCTGAAGGTGCGCTGCACAGCTTTCCCTCTCTGCTGAAGCCAGGAGTCTTGCTCTCCCGGCTTCAGCAAAAGGAACCCGAAGCCTGCGGAGCGCAGTGCGAGGTCCCGCTGCGCTCCGAAGGCTTCAGGCGGCTATCCCTGAAGCCTGGAGAGCGAGAGGGGTTGGTGCGCACCGACCCCTCTCGCTCTCCAGGCTTCAGCAAAAGCAACGCGTAGCCTCCGGAGCGCGGAGGGAGCACTCCCTCTGCGCTTCGGAGGCTTCGCATTGCTATCGCTGAAGCCAAGAAGCCTGCATCCGCTCCATAGGACGCACACACGTTTCCCCTTAATTTTTGGAGGGGAAAAAGTGCGTCCTATAGAGCGAAAAATACGGTAACTTACCCCAAAACATATTTAAACAGGAAAAAGAAGCCTGCCAGGGAAATTACCTTTGTGAAAAGCCACCAACAGCTGCTCTCCGTGTCCCGCCATGGACACCACAGGGCCAGGGAGGCTGAAGATGTCTTTCTGAACTCCCCCGTTGGTGAAGAGGCGGAGGAGAAGGGTGCTTGTGGCACACGCAGCCCAGCCCTGGCCCAAACAAACCGCTTCAATCTCTTCATTCTGCAACATGTCAACTGTCCACTCCTTGTGGAATCCCAGGAGTTAAAATGTATGCAGTGAAGCTTGCTGAAAATGGGGGAAAGTGAGGGGGGAATGGGGAAGAAAAAACAAGAAGTGATTAGGGATGTTCAGACTAGAGTCTCTCTGCTGAACATGTTTTTCAGGGTGGGGGGTACTTCACACAATAGTAGGAGTTTTGTTGGAGACTAAATTAAACCAGAATGCTGGTTTGTACTGTTACAAGTTGAAAACACGCTAGGAAAACTGATCACCAATTCATTAATTAGTAAGTCTTCTTTCATTTATCAGCTCCACCTTTTCTTCATTCCTCAGCTGTTCCCTTGAGGTTTTGCATGAAACCAACGGTAACAGTATCTCCAAGAGATATTGCACTAACAACGGCTCTGAGATCCATTCATCTTGATCATGACCACTACAGGTAATCCCATGGCATGCCAAAAATAGGTTTGGTAGTGTGTGTGTTTTTTAACAAGTTGTGTTCTTCACAGAAACATTAAAATAAGTGTTACCTCGCCAGCTCCTCTGTGCTCTCGCAGGCTAGCAAAATAGCTTCACTGGAAAGGGCTGCCATTGTGTGATTCAAAGAATTTGGCAAGTGCATTGCGTGATGGACGGCCGTGTCATGGAATTCCACATCAATGGCGTTGTCCTGCTCATCATTATAGCAGCGAATAATACCAATAGAGTTCCACACCTATGGAAGGAATGTCAACAGTAACACTACTTTCAGAAAAGCAACATACAGCCTTCAAATGCCTGCTTTCTACTCTGAATGGATACCAGGTCACCTGGTCTAACTCTAGCAGAGGCTACTACTCTTTTCCGAACTTAAAAATGGAAAGCGTAATGCTGGTGGTTAACAAAAGAGGTTTAAAGACTGTCTCAAGGCAAATCTTTAAAAATGTAGCATAAACACTGACAACTGGGAAACACTGGCCTGCGAGCTCTCCAGTTGGAGAACAGCCTTGACCAAAGGTGTCATGAACTTTGAAGATGCTCAAACTCAGGACACAAGGGAGAAATGGGCTAAGAGGAAGGCACGCTTGGCAAATCCACACCGTGATCAACTCCTGCAAATCCACACCGTGATCAAGTCCCCACTGTGGAAGGATGTGCGGATCCAGAATTGGCCTCCACAGTCACTTACGGACTCATTGTTAAAACTGTGTTTATGGAAGACAATCTTACTCGGCTACGAGTGATCGCCAAAGAAGAAGAAGAAGAAGAAGAGGAAGAGGAAGAGGAAGAAGAAGAAGAAGAAGAAGAAGAAGAAGAAGAAGAAGAAGAAGAAGAATGTTCACACAAATATCAGACAGGCAGGGTATAAATAATAAAATATTTCTGTTATTCTTATTAAACATTATTGCTGGATTTTTGAAAACCACTTTGCAATCCTTTTCTTGAAAAGCAACATACAAAAACTTAAAAATTATAAACTCTCCATTTCCCCCTTAATTAGATGGGGACAACTGGCTGATTATTTTGACATGTTTGGTTTAAAGGGCTGAGGGCAGAATAAATTTCAAAGAGCAAAGGGGGATAATACATGCCCAAGAGTCTGCTGTGAAATGGTCTGATAAATGCTGGCCAATATTATACCACAGAGGAGAGTTTAGCTTGCAGTGCAGACATATATTCTACTGTGGTTTATTACTCCAAACAGCAAAAGACAGGGGCAACGTCTGAGAGACCAGGCAAGTTGCTCGCTCCTGTGACATTTCTCTTTTCATTTCTTTTCTTGTAAAGAGAGGCAATGGTACCTTATTTACTGAAATCCGTTTATTTACCTTCCCTCACTCCTCTGTGGAATAACACCCCATCACCTTGTTTCTTGGAAGAGGCGGGGAAGAGTCATTCCTACTCACAAAGAAATCTTAAGCCACTTTTTCACCCCCATTCAGGCAATGAGGTGAGTACAGTGGTACCTCGCAAGACGAATGCCTCGCAAGACAAAAAACTCGCTAGACGAAAGGGTTTTTTGTTTTTTGAGCTGCTTCGCAAGACGATTTTCCCTATGGGCTTGCTTCGCAAGATGGAAACGTCTTGCAAGTTTGTTTCCTTTTTCTTAAAACCGTTAATACAGTTGCGACTTGACTTCGAGGAGCAACTCATAGCACGCGGTGTGGTAGCCTTTTTTGAGGTTTTTGAAGACTTTGGTGATTTTTGAAGCTTTTCCAAAACTTTTCCGAAACCGTGCTTCGCAAGACGAAAAAAATCGCAAGACGAAAAAAATCGCGGAATGAATTAATTTCGTCTTGCGAGGCACCACTGTACATATACCCTTTCTGGGAGGTTTTTCTGTGCAACAGCAGCCTATGTAGAGATGCACTGCTTTAAAAAAGAAAGGAAAAAAGAACTCAGCCCGCTCCCGCTCCCCCTTAAAAGGAGACAACAATTGTTGAAGGGACCAATTTATCTGGGAACTGGTACTGTTTTGGGTGGCATCACACTCCCTTGCAAGATCAGCTGCATAGCCTGGGGGTACTTCTCGGTTCAGTATCACTCTTGGATCTTGAGGTGGGACTTATGGCCAAGAGTGCCTTTTCCCAACTTTATTATTATTATTATTATTAATATTAATATTAATTATTATTATTTTAAATCAGCCAAAGAAACGAAACTCACCATGAAGCGGTGAGTGAGATGAACCGGAGTGGAGCCAGGCTGGAAGGGCTTTTGCTGAGGAGTTGGCACTGGCCCATCGTAGAAAGGCCTCTGGGTTGATGATAGTGGCAGCAGCGGGGCAAGGCTTTCCTGGTCGTCCTCTTCTTCCTCCTTATCAAGGGCAGAGTTAGCTTTCAGCAATCCAGTATCTATGCAAGACAGATAGCTTTGTATCAGTGGCTTAGGAAAGCAAGGGCTTTAAAAAAAAATCTTGCAACACCCGCTCCCCAGCCAAAGGATATTGTGAGCCAAGTTGGCAGCATCCACGATGTGCCTGCAGTTCCTGCAGTGTTCGTCCCCCCTGCCCCCCACTCCATGCTTTGGGAAATTCAAACCTAGGGAGTTCTCATCATCCTCTATTATTGCCCCTCGGTTTCTGGGACGGCCCGATGCCATCATGGGGTCGTCGTCGTCATCTTCATCATTCCTCGCAGCTTTGGGACCCCAGTCGTCCCCAACTGAGTCTCTGTTCAGGAAGTCTTCGCCGTCATCCTCATCAAAAAGTTCGTCGTAATCTTTGACACCAGGAACAGATGCCTAAAGCCATGGTTTAAAATTTACTGTCATAAAATCCACATAGTGCCATCAAGAAAACATCACGTTTTATCCTGAAGCCTGCCAAACTCCAGACTTACATGAGTGGATATGGGTTACCATCCACGATGGGAAAGGATACCGAAAAAGCCAAGAAAGCTTCCGGTTTGTATTACCTTGTGGTTTGATTTCTTTCCATCTACATCACAGACGTTCTCAAGTAGTCCCAGATTGCCTTCCATGTCCGTATAAGCAACCTGCCCGCCTTTTGGGTGCCAAGCCAGACCACAGATGGTGTAACTTTTGTCATGCTTCACCCTAAAAAATAATGAAAAACCAGTGTTCTGTGCAGGTTTAAAATCACAATCTGTTAAGCCCTCGCTACAGAAAAAAAATTGTTTGGCTCCCAGGACTTGGACAAATCATTCTTGGCTTAGCAAAGATCACTACAGCAGAACACAAGAACCCTGTGAAGAAACCCTGTGCCAGTCCTAATAATGTAATTGTAATCAATTAAGTGAGAAACAAACACACTAGTCTTCCTGAGCTCATCAAACCTTCTCAATGTGCTACGTCCTTCTGAATCATATGTAGTTAAGAACAATTCTAATTGGTTCTTACTAAGACAGATGAATCACATGTGGTCTGTGCAACCCACGCCGCTATGCTCAGGCAGGCCCCAACACCCATCTAAAAATTAATGTGGGCCGTTTGCAGTTTGCACAGCTGATATACACAGAGGAATGTCTTAGATCCATGGGCCTGAAATTCCACATCCCTGCTCTAGGGCATCAGGATTTTTCACCCAATGCAAGTTGCCCTAATTTACATAGGATTTTTTTCTCCCAAAAACAATCCCAGTTCAAAATTTTCCAGAAAATCCACACCACTGAGCACTGCAGTACAAAGAGGCTAACAGTTATGATTGCATGGAATGGACAGAGATGGCCAAAACAAGGCAGGCACCTGTCCTGTCATAAGCTGCTTCACCTCTAGATTAAACCAAAGGTAAGCAAAATAATAATAATAATAATAATAATAATAATAATAATAATAATTTTTTATTTATACCCTGCCCTACCCAGCCAAGGCTGGGCTCAGGGCGGCTAACAAGCAATAATAAAAAGTTGAATGAATACAAGCTGAATGAATACAACTTAAAAACAAGATTAAAATACAACGATTAAAATATTGAAACATTGAAATATTAAAATGCAGCCTCATCACAGGAGGAGAAAGGAAAAAGAAAAAAGAAAGAGGGGGAGGGAATCAAATTGGCTCCAAGCCAAAGACCAGGAAGAACAACTCTGTCTTACAGGCCCTGTGGAAAGAAATCAGATCCTGCAGGGCCCTGGTCCCATGGGACAGAGTGTTCCACCAGGCCGGAGCCAGAGTTGAAAAGGCCCTGCCTCTGGTTGAGGCTAATCTGACTTCCTTAGGGCCCGGTACCACTAGGGTGTTGCTATTTATGGACCTCAAGGCTCTCCGTGGGGCATACCGGGAGAGGCGGTCCCGTAGGTACGAGGGTCCTAGGCTATTAAGAGGGCCAAATGTTCATTTGATAGACCTGTGGCTCCCAATTGCTCTCTTAATAATTGTTCCACTTTGTGGAAGCTCATCTTTACAAGACACATTATGAAAACTACAGGCACCTCTCCAAGCACTCCTGGGTGTCCACATTCCAAATGACTATCCAGCCACCAACACTTCCTGCTGCCAGATACTGTCCACACGGAGACCAGGCTACAACATTGAAGGGCTGGTAGGGGGTGGGGGTAGACAAAGGAAAAAATAAAGATGCGTCATTAACTGCAGAACACGTTGAACAATGTCACTTTCATTCTGGGCACCAAGCAACTGTGCTGATTATTAATTCTTTGTGAGAAAAGAAAGCATCTATATTGGGATTTTCTAAGCAAACTGAAAGGCAAAACAGATGTATGAAGATACTGGGCACTCGTTTCAACTTTACATTTATCATCCTTGTGAGAGATGAGAAGCCTTGTATTTAAGAGAAAAAAACAGTCTGTATCTTATATAAATATTAAAGCTGAGAAACTATTTGCAGTTGCCACAGCCACTGCCCAATCCTATGAAATGTCAGGTTCTATTTTACAATTCTAAGATTTGGAAAGAAAATTAATATCCCACAGTAGTAGTAATAATAATAATAATAATAATAATTTATTATTTATACCCTGCCCATCTGGCTGGGTTTTCCCAGTCACTCTGGGCGGCTTCCAACAAAACACTAAAATACAAGAACCTATTAAACATTAAAAGCTTCCCTAAACAGGGCTGCCTTTAAATGCCTTCTAAAAGTTTGGTAGTTATTTTTCTCTTTGACATCTGGTGGGAGGGTGTTCCACAGGGCGGGTGCCACTACTGAGAAGGCCCTCTGCCTGGTTCCCTGTACCTTGGCTTCTCGCAGCGAGGGAATCGCCAGAAGGCCCTCGGCGCTGGATCTCAGTGTCCGGGCAGAACGATGGAGGTGGAGATGCTCCTTCAGGTATACTGGACCGAGGCCGTTTAGGGCTTTAAAGGTCAGCACCAACACATTCCATTGTTCTGCTATGCACTCTGTGCTTACCTGAGCAATGATGCATCTATCTATAGGAAGGACTATTGGGCCTAGTTTCCTTTGGTTAAGAGTCAATGCCTGAGTGCACTTGAAACTGAACAGTACCTTTGCAATGAATTGTTTATACATATGCACAGGATATTGAGAGCAAGTAGACTCCTTTCAGCAAGCAGTACAACCACTAATACTGTATCAGATTTCCAAAGAAGAACTGCTATATCCCAAGGATGTTTGCAGCACAATATTATACAGGTCTGCACAGAAGTAAGTTTCACTGAATTCAATGAGACTTACTCTCCCAGGTAAGGAGATACAGGATTCCCTGCAGGTAGACTGCTCATTTAGAAAAGCATATCATAGCCATCCGGGAGCGATCAGTTTAACAATGGATAGCCAGCACTTCCTTCATGTGTCAGGAAAGCCCTCCTCTTACAATACGTACAGATTGAATAGCAAGCACCTGGAGGATACCAACCTGTGTGACGGACTTATCCAACAGATCTAGTTGATGATCCCAGGTTTCTCGTCTGTATAGTTTAACCACTTTCTCTACTGGAACAGCAAGCAACTATTCAGAGGAGGAAATGTTTTGTTTTTAATAATAATAGTTTTATTATTTATACCCCGCCCATCTGACTAGGTTTCCCAGCAAATCTCAGTTGTAAAATGAGTTCGTTTTGTGGCTTTAGTTATAAAAGTATTTTTAAGCCACAGTGTTGTAAAATATCAAGACAGAGTAAAACAATAAAAGAACACCGTTAAAAACAATACGATGTTTGATAAGCAAGCACTGATGCTTCATTCATTTTGGAAGGAACTCACTAGATACAGAGCATTGTACACAGAACACAGAATGCATTGTATGGGTTCCGTCCTGTTCCAACAAAGCCAAGAGGCCAGCCTGTGGCAGCAATCTGAGTCAGAAAAAGCAGGACAGCTCCCATGGCTAAGACTGCAAACCCTCAGGAGCAATGGAGACTGATACAACGAATGTCTGAAATCAGCCAAGCACATGCATGCTACAGCAGCTATACCGAGTACCAGTCTTCCACAATGCTGCTTGCCATGAGAAGCGTGGCACTGCCCTCTGGCAAACATGACAAGTAGACACCTTTCTTCCCAAATTTGAAGTTACAGAGGTGGCCAGAGATTTTTCTGAGCAAATGATTAGCAAGGGTATAAGTTACTTTTGCTTGCCCTTTTCGCTTTGTGAAAAGAGCAACCAATAAATGTAATTAACCGTGATCATCTATTGTATGGGAAGAGGTTCTTGTGCCATTTCATATGTTGCCCACTCTCTGCATCTGCACTACTTAGAAGACACAGCATTTATGATTACGACAGCAGCACCTTCACCAACACTCTTCATCCTTAACCCTGAGCAGGGCTCTGGCATTGTTCCACATTTTGGATTTCTAAACACTCAGCTGCTACATCTCCACTGTACAGTGGCATCAGGGCAGACTGATTTTCAGAGGAAGAACAATTTGAAAAGAAAAGATTCTAAAACATTTCCCTACCCATTGCTTTTCCAAATTTGCACACACACACACACACACACACACACACACGGATTAAAACACATAAAGACAACTTGTTACCTTTCCTGTTTTGGGTTGCCACGCATGTCTACATATTGTTTTTGCATTCACCACATCATTACACTTCTGCAGCAATGGCCAGTTTGTCTCACAACTCTGGAAGCAAAATAAGTTAATAGTGGTTATACATCTTGAGAGGAACTCTTTCTAAATATGAGATTCAGGTAGATAGCTGTGTTGGTCTGACGCAGTCGAAATAAAATAAAATAAAATAAAATGTCCAGTAGCACCTTAGAGACCAACTAAGTTTGTTCTGGGTATAAGCTTTTGTGTGCATGCACACTTCTTCAGGTACTTAGCTGGTCTCTAAGGTGCTACTGGACATTTATTTTATTTTTTATTTAAATGTGATGAGTTTTAGATGAAGGGGGGTGCAATCTAAGTCCCCACCCAAGGAAGGACAGATAGCCACTGTGGATCCACAGCCTGGGAGAATCGAAAAAAAGGTCTTCAACTATGCCAGTTAACTATCTCTACATAGTGCTACTCAAACTTTGAGATCATTAGGAACTTTGAGAAGTGAAATGGAGACACTTCCATCCCTTAACTGGAATGTTTCTTTAAAATGTCTGAACAGGGTTGGTGTGGGAAATGACATGTAGGACAAGCCATAAATTTGAATGATTTGGTAAATATGTACTCTATGAACCTGCTGCCTTACAGTATATGTTCCTGGTTGCCTGAGTAGCCTGTGACCATTTTTCCTGTAAAGAAACACTCTCTTCCAGAAGGCAGGGGCCCTCTTGAACTAAGCACAGAAGGGGGTGGTTTTTCTAAGAGCACGAAAACGTTAACATTTGAACACAGACAATGGGAATTGGTATGAGGTCAATGCAGACATGAGATAAATAAAATTTTAAAACCGACTTAAGCATCTCTTGTGGTAAAATTCCTGGTTTAACTCCAAGAAGTCGCATTTTACCTGCTCTGAAATTTTCCACACTCTGACTGATCCGTCACAGCTTGCCGATGCCTGTGCAAGGAAACATTTTTAGAGAGTCATTAGCCTCTGACCAACCAGCAAAGTACTACTGTGTTAAGGTTTACATTGAAAACGGCAGCAAACAGTATCATAAACATATTATGCAATCAAACATTCATGGACATACCGGTCTTCAAATGTATTAGCCTTTAAGGTGCGCTTGATGTTTTCCTATCAAGTGTTGGAATAAATAGTTGAACAAATCAAGCCTGAATTTAATTTTCATATTATCTTTTCTACTTTTTGGCATAGTTACTTTTTCATGGAGTCACTTCGCCAGTGCCACATCAATTTTTATATGTGTGTGTGTGTGTGTGTGAGAAATATTCTGTTTGAAGGCACTCTTAAAAGAAATGGTTGGGTATATACAAAGCCAAGACAAAATCTCATTTTTTAAAAGTGATAATGAACAATATAAACTTTTTATTAGCATCTGACGGTCGTGTCTCTCCCCAAAGAATCCGGAGAGTCACAGTTATATAGCTTTGCAGGTTATTCTGCGCTCTATATATGTCACAAAGTAATTTTAGTTTTGAATTTTTTAATTATTAATTTATTTCATTAAGGAGGTTTTACAAAAACCACCTTAATTAAAATGTGTGCTCCACTTTTAAGAGACAAGAGAAGAGAAAGTCCACCGGAAAAGTTGTTACCAGAAAAGTGTTCTTTGGATCGAATGACACACTTAAAACAGGTGCGTCATGTCCCCGAAATGTCTTTTGCTGGCTGCTGTCAGTTACTTCCACAATCTTCACCAGGAAGTCACTAGGGATAATCATAATACTACTATTAGGAGCTGTGCTATATAATGAAAAATTGAAAATTTAACTTTTATTGGAATAAATGAAGCTGTATTTCTTCCATTTAAAAATGATTCAATTACAATTACAGTGCAGATGTACTTTTTAAAAGGCACTGCATGTTTCTACGCAAGTGTGGGCACACTTAAGACAATCACACACAATTACTCTACCACAGAAAAAGTTAACCTCTGTTCAATCTCTGCAATTCAGAGATTCATTTGTGTTATCAAACATTATAGACATAAAAACCATTTCCATAATGCATATTAAAACTGTTGATTATAATGAACTACTAACTCTGACAAATTGTCTTCCTGCCATGAGCCCCTCAAGGCAATTACAACAAATTGATCTAATTTTAAATGACAATTAAGGACTCTTGAGAACCACCTCCACAAATATCACCTGCAAATGCTTATAACAAGAGCAAGAGGTGGAAAAACGGAAGTAAAAGTCGGCTGGAGTGCTTTAAGCTAACCTTCAGAAACTCAGTAAAGTTATAACTTATATTGTACATACTCTTCTGCAGCCTGCATTAAATTAGGTACAGCCAGACACACTTCTCCACCAGATCAGTGCAAGAATATAGACAGCTTCCTATGAGCAAAGCCAATGTGTTTTTCTCAAGGGAATGCCAATTATATGTAGAGAGAATATACTATGTTCCTGCAACAATCCCAACATTAAATACAATCAGCAGAGCATGCAAACTTTTTTTCTATCATACATTAAAGGTAAAAGGTAAAGGTACCCCTGCCCGTACGGGCCAGTCTTGCCAGACTCTAGGGTTGTGCGATCATCTCACTCTAGAGGCCGGGAGCCAGCGCTGTCTGGAGACACTTCCGGGTCACGTGGCCAGCGTGACAAGCTGCATCTGGCGAGCCAGCGCAGCACACGAAACGCCGTTTACCTTCCCGCTGGTAAGTGGTCCCTATTTATCTACTTGCATCCGGGGGTGCTTTCGAACTGCTAGGTTAGCAGGTGCTGGGACCGAACGAAGGGAGCACACCCCGCCGCGGGGATTCAAACCACCGACCATGCGATCGGCAAGTCCTAGGTGCTGAGGTTTTACCCACAGCGCCACCCGCGTCCTATCATACATTAACAGAATATTAAAACAATGTCTTCTATCCAAGGTTGCTGGTATTCAAAATTCATAGGGAAAGCTGTTTGTGTGTCTTTTCCTTCTACTTCAGAGTCAAATTACCTGGATCCAGCAGCTACTTTGCTCCCATCAGCACTGAAAACTACATGGTTTGCATTCATTGTGAAGCGTGTCAGGATACCATCTGGAGCACCCTCTGGGAATGTATGGATCTGGACAGTATTGTTAGAGACTGCCGTAATCAATCTTCCATTCTACAAATAAAGCAATGGGAGGGGCAGGTGATTTAAATAAACATCTACTGACTCCAGGAGCAGTTCATTCCACTTCAACCGGCTCCCACAGCTTCCAAACATCTGATCAGTGTGTCTGGGGCCGAGTCAGGATGGCCATCCATCAACAGATAGAGTTGGGTGTCATCAGCATACATCAGCCCAACCCAAAACTCCGGACAAGCTGGGCAAGGGGGCACATAAAGATGTTGAAAAGCATTGGGGAGAGTATCGCACCCTGTGGCATTCCACACACCAAGGAGTGGCGCGACGACAGTTCCCCAAACGCCACCCTCTGTCCCCAACCAGAGAGAAATGAGCGCAGCCATTGAAGGACTGTGCCCTGGATCCCCTGTTACCATAAAGCACCAATGCTGCAGCAAGCAAAGGCTCCAGCAGCTCAGTCAGCTGCTTGTGGCTGGAAAGCCAGACAGGATGTTTGTGACTGTTGCCATGGGAACAAAGGGGCAGTCCATTCCGTACTGAGCACCGGATGTTAGCTCAGTGTGTGTGTCATATGACCCGTACTGGAAGTACATGGGTGGAGTTTCTTCTTGCTGTTGTCGAGTGCAGACATGATTCTCTGTACTGATATGAGAGGCAGAAATAAAGGATGTAAATAGTTTTCTGTCTGCTTCTTTCCCCTCCCTGGGGGACACCAAAGGGGAGAGAGGAAGAACGGTGTGTTCCTCTCACACATCTGAGAAGAATCGCCGGGACCTCGCCTGCTTATCAGCAGAGTGGAGACGCGGGGAGGTCGACAGGAATATCTGCCGGTGCCTACGCTGTGGCACATTCCTCTGACCCAGGCAGAATTCCAACAGTGGTAGCAGATGCCGGTTGCTGTTTTCTTCGATCCATGGGAGTCTGCATCAAGAGTAGCAGAGCTACTGTTTACATTGCTCCATGGAAGCCTGATGGGAGAAGCTGATCCTCTGCAGCCAGAAGCTGACCAGAAGACGCTGACAGCCAAGCCACGATACCCAAGGTATGAGATTTTAAGGGCTTAAAAGTGTGAATGCAGATTGATTCATTCTCTGCTTCACGGAGAGCGTGTGTGGGAAAGCAGCTCCAACTTAGAAGAGGTCTGCATTCCAGGCATTCTTGTGGTTTCCTGTCCGAGGAAAGGAATGCACTGTTGCTAAGCAACGTCCTTCAGTGAAGGAGGACTGGAAAGTTACTCGAGAGGGCTGGACAGTCAGACTATGCCTCAGAGAGGCGAAAACAAAGTTTTGTTATGACTAGGTCCTCACGAACTGATGGAAGGGACTTTCCAACGCAGCCAGTGTCAGAGTTGCCAGGTGTCAAGAGTGTAAACAAGCCAGCTATTGGATTTTAGAGGCTTGTGTTTGAGAGTTAATGCAAGGACTCAAAATGGATGCTAAGAAGGGGGGAGGCTTGCCTTCTCCACCCCTCCTGACCAATGACAATTATGCATCTTGGTCTGTAAAGATGAAAGCCCTGCTGCAGAATCAGAGACTGTTTGGGGTGATTGAGAACCCCATCCCTGCAGCACCAACGCGTGCTTGGGAGTCACAGAATGTGAAGGCCAGAACGGCTATAATTCTGTGTGTGTCAGACTCGCAGCTTGTGCATATCCAGCATTTAGAACATGCGAAAGAAGTTTGGGATACGCTGCGTACAACACATCAGAGAGATGCAGGTTCTTCAGCGTTGATGTATTTTGAGAAGTTGACCAATCTGAGATTAGCGCCTGATGGAGATGTTCAAGCGCACCTGACAGAAATGAAGTTTCTGCGTCAACAGATGGTGGAATGCAATTTCCGTCTACAGGAGGAAGTGTTTTGCTTCATGATGATAAACAGCCTGAACCGGACCTACAAGGTTGTTGCCAGTCAGCTTGGTTCCCTACCGGCTCAAGACCTAACTGCGGAGAGAGTGTGTGCGGTGGTCCTGAATGAACACGACAGACTTGCTGCACTGGAAGTGAAGGACAGGGGGAGGCAAGAACAGAGTTCAAATCTTCCCACTGCTGATGCTACTGGAGAGCATGCTGTAGCATTGAGCGCTGTCCGATGCTACAATTGTGGACAGACTGGGCATCTACAGCGGAACTGTAGGAAGCCACGACAGTCAAAAGGAGCCAAGAACAGCTCTACGAAGCCTGAGGCGTCAAGCGAAAGCCGTAACAAATGCCAGGTGAAACCTGCAAAGGCTATGATGGCGAAAGGAACCACGCCAGATGTTGGGAACGCATTCATAATCGACACCGGCGCCACGAAGCATCTCTGCCCACACAGAGATCTGTTTTCGACGTTGAAGAAGCAAAGCTTCACTGTGAAACAAGCCAACGGTCAAGAGCTGGAAGCGACCGGAATTGGAACTGTGTATCTTGAGAGTCTGAACTTGACTATAAGCGATGTTTACCTGGTTCCAGAACTGAGGTTTAGTCTGCTGAGTGCTTCGCAGATTGCTAAGAAAGGACTAAAACTGTACTATGATGATAAAAGATGCAAGATCTACAAAAATGGAGAACTGTTTCTTACTGCCAAAGAGAAAGATGGACTGTATTTGTTGACTTTTGATCAAAGTGATTACATGAAATGTAATACTTCTGATTCTAACGAAATTTCTCTTGCAGATCTGACCAACAAAGAGGACACCAAGAAGGTGGCCAACAAGGTCGACAGAGCATTTCAGCGGGTGTATGCTGATGTGATTGGTCCTCTAGAACCATCTAGGGGCGGTGCAAAATATTACCTTGTGTGTGTTGATTGTTTCACTAATTATTCTTGGGTTTATTTGATGAAGAAACCGCAGGAAACTTTAGAAAAGTTTCAAGAGTTTTGTGACAAGGTTAAAAGTATGCATGATGCTAACATTGATTGTCTTTTCACAGATGACAAGCAAGTTTTTCTTTTACAGGATTTCCAGAGGTTCCTGCAGGAGAAAGGGATAAGACACAAACTTGCTAGTTCCGAAGAAGCGTGGAAGAAATGTGTCTGTGTTAGGGTGAACAAAGAATTGCAAAAGGGGATGCATGCACAATTGCTGAGTTCACATTTACCACATGAATATTGGGCCGAGTCGCTAGCGTCCTATCTTCATGTGTGGTTGAGAAAAGTCTCAACAGAGTTGGGATGTTCTCCTTTTGAGAAGCTGTTCAAAAGAAAACCTTCTGTTGCCTATTTTAAGGTTTTCGGGTCTCATGTGAGAACAGAAGCTCCAAGTGGGGTAAAGAATGCCAGAGGCATCTTCGTAGGTTATAAAAAAGGTCTCTACAGAGTAATTTTGTCTGAATCTGGTCAGGTGATTCTCACAAAATTTCTAGAGAGTGCTCCTGAACAGGAGAGAGTGATTGTTCACGCTTTTCCCACAGAGGATTTTGATGATGATGATGATGAGTTTGATCTTATAGAGTTCAGTGGTACTGATGATGACAGCGATAGCTCAGACAGCTCAGTTGTCACAGTCATTGAGAGGAAATCTCAAATAATGACTAGACCCTCAGAAGAGGAGGATGAACCACTGATTAAGCTTAATACTGGTTCTCCAGAGAGTTCAGAGGCTGAACCAGAAAGCAGAGAAGAGCTGCAACTCTTACGTAGGTCTGAGAGAGCAACGAAGGGTGTACCACCCAAGAGGTATTCAAAGGAGTTTGCTAACCTAGCATATGTTGCTGTTGTAAACGACCAAGGACAGATTGAAGCAGTGTCTAAGTCAGAGACAAAGGCACAACAGAGAGTTGTTAACCAAGGTAATGCGAAGTCACACAACCAGAGAGGTACATTGGTTAAACCAGTGGCGGGTAGTTCCAAGGGTGGAACTGAAACAACAGGGGAATGTTATAAGTATAACAACTGTTTGTTTTCTTCTCTGGATGACGCTTTGCTCGCAGCACGCATTGATACTTTAGGGGGAGTATGTTACCATAAAGCACCAATGCTGCAGCAAGCAAAGGCTCCAGCAGCTCAGTCAGCTGCTTGTGGCTGGAAAGCCAGACAGGATGTTTGTGACTGTTGCCATGGGAACAAAGGGGCAGTCCATTCCGTACTGAGCACCGGATGTTAGCTCAGTGTGTGTGTCATATGACCCGTACTGGAAGTACATGGGTGGAGTTTCTTCTTGCTGTTGTCGAGTGCAGACATGATTCTCTGTACTGATATGAGAGGCAGAAATAAAGGATGTAAATAGTTTTCTGTCTGCTTCTTTCCCCTCCCTGGGGGACACCAAAGGGGAGAGAGGAAGAACGGTGTGTTCCTCTCACACATCTGAGAAGAATCGCCGGGACCTCGCCTGCTTATCAGCAGAGTGGAGACGCGGGGAGGTCGACAGTAATATCTGCCGGTGCCTACGCTGTGGCACATTCCTCTGACCCAGGCAGAATTCCAACATCCCCATGTCGGCGAGGCGTTGGTCCAGGAGTTCGTGATCAACCATGTTGAAGGCTGCTGACAAGTTTAAAAGAATCAGCAGCCCCAACCCGCCTCAATTCAGTTGCCTATGGAGATCATCTGTTAGGGCGACCAGAGCTGTCTCGGTCCCATGACCAGAGCGGAAGCCGGATTGGAATGGATCCAGAGCCGATGTTTGGATAGATTGGATAGATCTAAATGATCTAATGATGTTTTCTTTAAGAGTGGGCTCACCACTGCCTCCTTCAATTCCCCTGGGAATGTCCCGGTGCCAAGGGACAAATTGATGATAGCCCCTTTTCAGTACTAATAAAGTTGTCAATACACTTCAGGGCAAATATACATATTACTCAGCTGGGCTCAAAGACTGGCCAGGGTAGAGACTGGGGAGAGACCATTCCTCCTTCCCCATTTATGTTCCCTTGGCAAATATGGGCTTGGGAATGTCCTTGCATGGATTACAAATTACAGTTAAATCTGTTTCTAGGGAAATCCATATATATATGCACAATTTTAAAATTAACAACCATTGTAAAATTACCTTTTCAAAATACTTTCCATGTAAGAATAGCAAGCAACAGTCTAGTACAGGCATCCCCAAACTCGGCCCTCCAGATGTTTTGGGACTACAACTCCCATCATCCCTAGCTAACAGGACCAGTGGTCAGGGATGATGGGAACTGTAGTCCCAAAACATCTGGAGGGCCAGTTTACCTATGCCTGGTCTAGTTACGTACTATAATTGGATGCTGTAGCAGATTAGCCACTAAAGCACAAATTCAGTAACGGCATGAAGTTGGGGGCAGCAAACACGAGTCCCAGGGCCAAAATGGTACGAGGGAAATGGTAAAATGGTCACAGCAAACACACAATAACTTTAATGCTGACGGTGTTACAAGTAGCCAGGTAAATTTGCAAGCACAGCATAACCAGCCTTTAATAAATGATAAAGATTTGAAAACTTTAGGGGGTGATTTTCTTATAATAGTATTCTCATTTGAGGCTAATAATAATAATAATAATAATAATAATAATCTCAATTATAAGTATCAATTGAGTTGCTTTAACTTGTTGTATTCACAAGAGGGCAGACTTGGGCAAGGTTTCACAAATAAAATACTGTTATTAAAAACTGCAGTCTGAGTATCAAATTTAACAAAATGATAATATTGCAATGAAGAAAGTCTTGTTAAACTTTGAAACAAGAGCTCAACTTAAATTAACAAAATAAAATGTAGTGCAAATATTGTTTCAGAAAGGAGTTGCTGATGCCGAACATGTGGATTTGTATTGCTAATGTTTTACTCATCTTTTTCTATTTTTCAATCAAAACAGGAAACATAAAATAATTACTTTGTTTAAAGAAACTCTAAATACATCTACTATCTGCTGGTGTTAAAACAGAAGATGATACAAATGATAAGTGATACCTCTTTCAATTAAGTTAGCAGTTTTGAACACCCTGCACAACACTGAAAAGAAAGTTGCTACACCAGAAGTTTTTACTTGTCTAACGAGTTCACAAACAATTTGTAGCACAGACAGCCTAGGTGAATGAAGAGAACCAGCTGTTCCAATTTACAAAAGCTTTTGTGCCTAGTCATAATTCTCACTTGCCACAGGTAATCAAGTCAGTGACTATATTCAATCCTAACATAATAGACTGCATAGCAGAAGCAACAGGTTGCTCAAACGTTGCTGACTTCCAATCAGAATAAAGCACAGCTGTGAAAATGACCTCATTGTAGGTATTGCCTAACGCACAAGGCCTATTTGATGACACTACTTTTACAAAGAAGCCCTGCACACATACTGGAAGAACCAGAATATCTCCAAGTTCCCGCTGTATAGTTCATAACTGCAGTACCTTGAGAGCAAACGAGTAGGCCTTTTCTCCCACGTTAATTGACTTGGGGTCATTGTCGTCCAGGCTTTCCCAAATCCTGACATCTCCATCACTGCCGCATGTTACAATACAGCTATTCAAAGAAACAAGATCAATCTTACACAAAGATGTACGAAACTGTATCTAAATTCTTCATAGTTTTCATTAAAGTAAAACAGTGACGGAAGTTGCTTTGCAAACGCTTTCATTCCTCAGAAACAATATACAGTGGTACCTTGGAAGTCGGACGGAATCCGTTCTGGAAGTCCGTTCGACTTCCAAAATGTTCAGAAACCAAGGCGCAGCTTCCAATCGGAAGCTCCTGCAGCCAATCGGAAGCTGCGGAAGTCACATCAGGGCGTTTGGGTTCCAAAGAACGCTCGCAAACCAGAGCACTCACGTCCAGGTTTGCGGCGTTTGGGAGCCAAAACATTCGACTTGCAAGGCGTTTGGGATCCAAAGTATGACTGTAAATTGATCACAAGAAGAAGGTGCTAGCTTTGGTGTCAACAGTCACTATGGATGACACTGTAAAAAGATGAGGTGTCCTACTAAATTTCAGGTGACTACTTCACATCTCAACCTTATAGATTATGGTGATAAAACAAGGCATAAGGAAAGAGGCAATCTCTTGAATACATGCAAAAAACCCAACCTTGGGCAGCAAGACCATACAATTAAACCACATGACTTCCCCCAAAGAATCCTGGGAAACCCTCACAGAACTACAATTCCCAACAAACTGCAGTCCCCGGGATTCTTTAGCTGAAGTCATGTGGTTTAAACGAATGGTGCATAGTAGGCAAATTGCTTCCTCCCTCATGAATTTAATTATCAGTGGTTACTTGCCACAATGGCTATGTGCTGCCTCCATAGTCTGAGGCAGTATGCTTCTAAATAACAGCTGCTGGGAACGACAAAGGGGAAACTACTGTTGTGCTTGCGGATTTCGTACAGTCATCTGGTCAGCCACTCTGAGAACAGGATGCTGAACTAAACGAGCTATGAACCTCATCCAGGAGGGCAGTTCTTATAAATTTGGCACCAATGGTATCCATTTTTGCAGAGTTCAAACTGCATCACTCTGAAAAAGGACAGCACCCTGGCTAAGTTCATCTGTTTTGGCCACCAGGCTATGACAGTTTATCCTCATTCCTCTGTTGCTTTTCACTGCTGTGCTACCTGGCAGAAAAGATGAATGTAGAATCTGCTTGCACTGAGATCATGCAAATCCATCTGTGCATGACTGTACTATTCCTGGTTGTCAATGGAGTATTCAGTTCCACACAATGCTGGAGTTCCCTTGTAATTTGGCAGCAGTCATTCAGATGGGATAGGCAATAAAGGCACAACATCACTTTGACCCATAGCATGAACAAAAATCTTTGGGTCTTAAGAATTATGAAGCCATTTATTTGTTCTTCACATGAAACAAACACCGTGGGAAGCCAATAACAATCACTTCCTGCCATCTATGCCAGGAATGGAGGACCTATGATCCTTCAGATGTTGCAGGACTCCAAACCCCACCAGTCTTAGCCAGCATTGCCAATGGCTAGTGATGTTCTAGATTCAGGTAGGTAGCCATGTTGGTCTGATGCAGTAGAAATATATATAAAAATAAAAAAAATGTCTAGTAGCACCTTCTTGTTGTTTAGTCGTGTCCAACCCTTCATGACCCCATGGACCAGAGCACGCCAGGCACTCCTGTCTTCCACTGCCTCCCACAGCTTGGTCAAACTCATGCTGGTAGCTTCGAGAACACTGTCCCACCATCTCGTCCTCTGTCGTCCCCTTCTCCTTGTGCCCTCCATCTTTCCCAACATCAGGGTCTTTTCCAGGGAGTCTTCTCTTCTCATGAGGTGGCCAAAGTACTGGCGCCTCAGCTTCAGGATCTGTCCTTCCAGTGAGCACTCAGGGCTGATTTCCTTAAGAATGGATAGGTTTGATCTTCTTGCAGTCCATGGGACTGCACACGAAAGCTCATACCAAGAACAAACTTAGTTGGTCTCTAAGGTGCTACTAGACAATTTTTATATTTTTTTATATATGGCTAGTGATGTTGTGAGTCATCCGGAGGGCCACAGGTTACCCATCCCCAACATATACTGTACATACATTGTGTGTGTGTACATTAATCACATGCAACTGGGCCCTCAGTCACTTACCTCCCAATGTCATCAAAGCAAACATCTGTGTGACCTTCTGTGTGGCCGTATCTCATTGGCTTTTGTGACAAAGGCATATTCTTTATCTAGGTTACAAAGTTAAAAAGGGCTTCAAGCAAAACAATTACAAGTGATTAACAGGTTTTTGAGTTCAAAAATCACCAAATCTACAATTACGTTCAAACTATTTTTATTTTTTAATATAACGTCATTAACCTGCATGAATTTTTACAGTGTAACACAGCCAAAAGATTACCTGTAGAAGCTTACTACCTAATTTTAGGCCGGGAGGTGTGTGAATGGGGAAGTGGAGAGGCAATAGTAGTAGGTAAAGGTAAAGGGACCCCTGACCATTAGGTCCAGTCGCGGACGACTCTAGGGTTGCGGCGCTCATCTCGGTAACATATACAGTAATGCCTACAGACTGCAATGTCATTATAAAGAATCTCAGCTACTATACTATGGACAACTGTATTAGTCCTTTTTCATCATTTTGCCACAGACACAATTCTTTAGGATAGGAAAAAGTCAATAACTTATTCCGTATGTTATGAAGGCTTGGCTATTATTAGACTCCTTTCCTTTCTTTGTCTTGTTATGCTTACGTTTTCTTCCGTCAGCAGCCCCTCGACGAAATCTCCAAATGGGCGGTTTCCTAATCGGTGCCAGTGATTTGAGGTAGAGGTAAACGCAGTGCAATTCCAGATTCAGTGACCTGCAGTGAAAGCGTATAGTCCTGTAAATGCAAAAACCACAGTGGGACATACATGCAAGGTGATAAATCATCATCATCACCACCATCATCACAACATTAGGAGGGTGTCTATCACAAAGAAGACAAGAAGCAATGACATGGGTAGTGCAAATACTTTGGATTACACTGCTTAGAAGCACACCTTTTGTAAAGGTATCAGCCATACAGGTGACTCTTCACTCAAGGAGTTGCCAGGCTCCTGCTTACTCTCTTCGGAGGGCACCAAATTCCCGGGATCCCAGTTAATCCGAAACAACTTGCACCCAATGTTGCCTCATAATGTTTTGTTTGAAAAGGGGGGGGGGATATGGCCTTGCACACCTTATTTCCCCACAAAGTTTGCTATTTGGAGAGGTGAAGAATGGAGAGAGAGAGAAAAGAAGTCAGAGAGACAGCAGTCATCTCTTCTCTTCTCTTCTCCCCCCACCCCCTTTTTTTGCTGGAGCACAAAAAAAGGGAAAAGGAGCAGCGGGGAGACATCAAGAAATAGAGGCGGGGTGGCAGCCCACTTCTAGGCAGTCAAGAAAGAAAAACAGCAACACATATGTCAATGGCAGGAGTTCAGAAATAGAGGGGGAAGTGGGGGTAGCTGCCCTTCTCTTTATCTGTAAGCCGCCTTGAGTCCCTGTCTGGGGAAAAGGTGGGGTAACAACAAAATAATAATAGCAGGTCCTTGTATGGGGGGGGTCGCTTGCCCCTCACCAAATTAATAATAATAATAATAGCAAGTCCTTGTTTGGGGGGGGTCGCTTGCCCCTCTCTGCAAAATAATAATAATAATAATAATAATAATAATAATAATAATAATAATAATAATAATATAAATTATATCAGGTCCTTGTTTGGGGGGGTGTCGCTTGCCCCTCTCTCCACAAATAATAATAATAATAATAAGCCCTTGTTCAGGGGGTTGCTTGCCCCTCTCCACAAATAAAAATTTAAAAAATCAGGTCCTTGGTTGGTGGGGTCGCTTGCCCCTCTCCACAGATAATAATAATAATAGGTCCTTGTTCAGGGGGTCGCTTGCCCCTCACCACAAAATAAAATAATAATAGTAATAGTAGTAGGTCCTTGTTTGTGGGGGGGGGGTCGCTTGCCCCTCACCCCCGACCCCCTCGTGGCGCCGCCTCTGGGGGCAGCCTGAGGTAACAAATCCCCCCCCCTTTTGCGAAGGGGCGCTTCTTCCTCCCCTTTTCCTTCCTCCTCGGCTTCTCTTTTGGGGGGGCTGAGGAGAGAAACAGGGCCGAGGCAGGCGCCCCCCCCCCCCAAACACAGCCCGGCCCCCCACAGCCCGGCCCCCGCTCCTCACCGCGACACGGAGGCCCCCGGCCTCTCCTCCTCCTCCTCCTCCTGGCCTTTCTCCTTCTTCTTCCCGCGCTCTGGGCCTGAGGCGGAGCCGGCGTGGGGCGTCAGAGTCCCGGCCTCCCTCTCCTCTCCGCCTCCCGCTCCTCCTCCTTCCCGGGCCGGCCGGATCCTCCGAGACCATGAGGAGGCGCCTGAGGTGACCGGGCCGCCTGGCACCGAGCGAGGGAGGAGGAGGAGGAGAAGACGAAGAGGCGGCGGCGGGGGAGAAGCGCCTCTGCGCGGCCGGGAGACGGAGCAGGAGGGCGGGCAGCAGCTGGCCGGGCCTCTCGGCTGCTCCTCTTCCCTTCTTCTCCCTTCTTCTCTCCGCCCTGTGGTGTTCAAAGGACATCTCTGTGTGGAGCTTTATGGGATATACACTTGCCTCTTTTTCAGCACTTTCTGCCTCACGGTTTCCTCTCTCCCCATTAATCTCTTTATTTCGGAGCTCCCACCCCCCTCTCTCTTCTATTAATTTTTTTTAATCCCCCCCCCGAGTTTATTTCTCATTTCTTCTCGCCTTTCCTTCCTCAAATAACCTCTTCTCCATTGGCATTTTTGTCAAATAACCCCCTTCCCCATTGGGGAGGGGGGCCCCTTCCTTCCTTCCTTCCTTCCTTCCTTCCTTCCTTCCTTCCTTCCTTCCTTCCTTCCTTCCTTCCTAGGGGAGTAAGTTTTAGGACGGCACCCCCCCAAAAAACGTGCCTCCCTATTTACTTCCCGTGTATAAGACTTACTATATTTCCCCCCAAATTTTTGTAAGTTAAAAAACTGGGGGGGGGGTCGTCGTTGCAATTAATTATTTCTTAATTTGGGGCTCCAAAAATCGGGGGCGTCTTATACATGGAAAAATACAGGAATTGAAATTCCCCTGCGCTCAGTTCTGCCCACCTTCCCTTTTCCGCTGCCTCCATCCTTCCCCCCTTTCCCGATGCTTTTCCTCTCTCAACCTTCCCTATTCCCTTTTCCTTCCTCCTCTTTCCTTTTAAACTCTCCTTCCTTGCCCCCCCCCACTTTCTTTCCTTCCTCCCTCCCCATCTCCTGCCTCCTCAGCCCAGCCCACCTCCCCCCCCCCAGTTCCAGCTGTGCAGTTAATCCAGTCTGGCTTTGTGTCTGATGGGGAGCAGATGTGCCTGTCCTTGCTGGGGTGAAGAGCCCCTCTTGGACCCCTTCTTTTGGGTGCCAGACCTCCACCCCCCCACCAACAACAACATGTCTCTTCTGGTAAGCAGCAGGTAAGCATGCTCAATGGTGGTGGGGGCAGCATCCCCTTCATTATGGAAATTGCTTTTATTATTATTATTAACTGCTAAAGGCTTTCTGATTGCCATCAGTTCACGTCTTCGCGGCATGTTTCTTAACATTCTGGGAAATTTAATGAATCGTAATATTCTTCCTTAACATCAGTGCTTTTTTCTGGGGGACGCAGGGGTGCGCATACCCCTAAACATTTTGTGACTCTAAGTTTGGCCTCATTGAGGAGCAGTATTTCTATATGAGTAGGAAAATGAGAGTACCCCTAAACATTTTTTTAAGGAAAAAAAGCACTGCTTAACATTATGGGGAAAGTGTATCTGGGGGGTTATTGGAACTGGAGTTGGGGGGTCTGTTATTTGCATTGGCTGGGTATCTTTCTGGTGGGAAGAGGAGTAGGCTGTATTCTGACAAAATCTGTCTCACTGATGGTTTCATAACTGCTGTCGCAGAAATGTAACTTCTTTTTTAGAAAACAGCTGGAGGCAAAACTTTTTAATGAGTCTGTGCCTTTAAGGTTGGAATTGGTGCTCGGTAATAAATTTTGATTCAAGAAGTTCCCAGTTTTAACCCGCTCTAGGGATGTGTATTAAAAAGTGGGTGGGCAAATAAATATTTAGGATCCTTGACTGCATTGCTGAAGGTTTTTCTGGACAGCATCTACTAGTGAGTAACCAAGCATTTGACAGTGTTATGGGTCACTTCAGTATCTTATACCCACCCAGGGCATAAAGTGATACTCAGCTGACATGCTGTCCTTATTTCAAAGGATTTCCCTTTATTCTGGAGTATTCCCATCTCAAAACCAAGCACTGCACTTATTTTTAAAAACTTTGATATGCCCACCACACTTTTCAAAAGTTAAAAAGCGAGGCTTTCTTCTCTTTCAGATGACATTTCCAAGTGTAGCTGCTTCTAGCTCTTCTTCATACATGGCACACATTTTACATCTCATGCCTTAAAACATGCATGGAAATGCCACTTAAGAATGACTAAAATTCAGGTCTGATTCACTGCCACCTTCTATTCTGGAAATATTCCGGAAGCGATTCGTTCAAAGCCAAACCTAGGTCTTAAGATGTGTGTCCTTTATTATAATGATAATTATAATAATAGATAATGATGATTATAATACTATAGCAGCAACACTAGTTGTGTGTGTCTTATGGAGAAACCACAAGGAACTAAAATGCTTGTTCTTGCCTTTTAATGGTAGCTTGGTAGCTATTGAGATCTAGGCTGACAAAATACATGAAATAGCTCTGGATTGTTTGTTTGGCCTTGCTTACAATACATGTGTGAATATTTCTGGTCTCATATTGACACGTGTGCGGGTACTATTATTATTGTTACTATTGTTACTATTATTAATGTATATGCTAACCATCTGACTGGGTTCCAACAAATTAAAACAGAATGCCACATCAAACATTAAAAACTTCCCCGAACAGTACTGCCTTCAGATGTCTTCTAAAAATCAGATAGTTGTTTATTTCCTAGAATATAATTTTTACGAGATGACCTTTAAAAATAAGCAACTAAATATCCACTTTGTTGTCTTTAAGGAAACATTTTAAATAGAATTGGTGTTTTCATTTTACTCTTTTATTTTTGGAGTGTTAACAGGACTTCTTTTTAAAAATGGAATTATGATAAATACCTATTGAGGATCTCAATTCTGTTGAATTGCTGATCCATAATTAAGCTAAATATATTTCTGTGTAGGGGGAGAAACAAATTGTGGATATTTAAATGGGAGCTGCACAAGAGTAATATTTTTTCTTCAGTTTCCACTCATTTGAATGAGCTGTGCAAAGGAGAACCCAAGGCATTCTGTCCCCATTCATGCCTGGAGATGATAATGGATTGAATAAACTGAGGCTTAACCCAGATAAGATAGAGAGGCAGTTAGTAGATGGTTTGTCTGCCAAGTTGAGTGGGTGGTTTTCGTTTTTATTTTTATTATGTATTTTGTGGTTTTATCTTGTGAACCACCCCGACATCTGTGGGTATAGGGCAGTATACAAAATTAATAATAATAATAATAATAATAATAATAATAGTAAATCTATTCTGGATGGGGTTGCACTCCCCCTAAATAATGGGTAGGCAAACTAAGGCCCAGGGGCCTTCTAAACCCAGCTCACAGACGGTCCAGGAATCAGTGTGTTTTTACATGAGTAGAATGTGTGCTTTTATTTAAAATGCATCTCTGGGTTATTTGTGGGGCACAGGAATTCGTTCATTCCCCCCCCCAAAAAAAAATATAGTCCGCCCCCCCCCAAGGTCTAAGGGACAGTGGACCGGACCCCTGCTGAAAAAGTTTGCTGACCCCTGCCCTAAATGATCCAATTTGCAGTTTGGAGGTAAAGTGGTACCTCGGGTTAAGAACTTAATTCGTTCTGGAGGTCTGTTCTTAACCTTAAACTGTTCTTAACCTGAAGCACCACTTTAGCTAATGGGGCCTTTCACTGCTGCCGCACCGCTGCTGCGCGATTTCTGTTCTCATCCTGAATCAAAGTTCTTAACCCGAGGTACTATTTCTGGGTTAGCGAAGTCTGTAACCTGAAGCGTCTGTAACCTGAAGCGTCTGTAACCCCAGGTACCACTGTACGCAGCATCCAATATTGTCACTAGACTAGGGGCACAGGTGTCCTCAGGGGCTGAAAATGTCCTGCCTTTTATCGACTTCTGGTGAGAAATCGGCTACAATCTTACTTGGACAGAGATAGCTTGGCCACGGTATAGTCATCCATGCTCTGATAACCTCCCCTTAGATTATTGTGTTATGTATGTAGCTGCCTTTGAAAACAATTATCTTGTTAGTCCAAAATGGGGCAGTGAGGTTGTTGACCATGGACTAGGCAACTGAAACATATTATGCTAGTACAGTGGTACCTCGCAAGACGAATGCCTCTCAAGACGAAAAACTCGCAAGACGAAAGGGTTTTTGGTTTTTTGAGTTGCTTCGCAAGACGATTTTCCCTATGGGCTTGCTTCGCAAGACGAAAACGTCTTGCAAGTTTGTTTCCTTTTTCTTAAAACGGTTAATACAGTTGCGACTTGACTTCGAGGAGCAACTCATAGCACGCGGTGTGGTAGCCTTTTTTGAGGTTTTTGAAGACTTTGGTGATTTTTGAAGCTTTTCCAAAACTTTTCCGAAACCGTGCTTCGCAAGACGAAAAAATCGCAAGACGAAAAAACTCGCGGAACGAATTAATTTCGTCTTGCGAGGCACCACTGTACATTATCAGCTCTTCTGGCTTCTTGTTCATTTCCAGGCAGTTTTGGGCCAGGTTACCTGTAGGATTGCATCCTCCCACATATACCCAGACCTTGAGTCCATGATCTCTGAGTACTACCACCAGGTGTGATCCAACTAGTAGTGATAAGGCCTTCTCAGTAATATCACCCTGGTTGTGGAATGCCCTCCCCAGAGAGCCTCACCTGACCCATGTTGTGTATTTTTTTTCTGATGCCAGGTGAATTTTATCCTTCCAGGATTCTGAGGGAGGTTTTGGCTTTTAAGGTACCAATTTTATTGATTTTTCTCTGGCATTATGTGTTTTATAAGGGATTTGTACCAAGAAAGAAAAGAAAGAAAAGGAAGGAATAAAAAAAAATTAAGAGATTTGTACTTTGTATTGCTGAATTTTAGTAGTATTTATGTATTACACCTGAAAGTGAGGTTCTTCAGTTCACCACCCAGAGAAATGCCATAAATAAATAAGTAATATTGATTAACGTATGGAAGGATGCAGTTTGAATTTTCTGCCTCTGGCACCAAAACAAAGGTCTAGCACAGTTTAGTACTCTTCACACTTCTTATACCTTACGTGCTGATGACTGAGAATCATTTGCCAAAAATAGCAACTGATAAAACAAAGTTTTTGCATGAAGTGATTTCCCCACTCCATGGCACTATCTCACTATCACAGTGTGATGCAGCAGCAAAAAAAGCTAATGCTATTCTCGGCTGCATCAGTAGAAGTCTAGTGTCCAGATCAAGGGAAGTAAGAGTCCCACTCTATTCTGCCTTAGTCATAACACACTTGGAATACTGTGTCCAATTCTGGGCACCACAATTTTAAGAAGGATGTTGACAAGCAGGAAGGTGTGCAGAGGAGGGCGACCAAGATGATCAGAAGTCTGGAAATGAAGCCTTATGAGGAGCTCTTGAAGGAGCTGGGTATGTTTAGCCTGGAAAAGAGGAGACTGAGAGGAGATAGGAGAGCCATCTTCAAATATTTTAAGGGCTGCCCCATGGAAGATGCAGCATGCTTGTTTTCTCCTGCTCTGGAGGGTAGGACTCGATCCAATGGCTTCATGTTGCAAGAAAGGAGATTCCAGCTAAACATTCGGAAAAACTTTCTGACAGTAAGAGCTGTTCAGCAGTCGAACAGACTTTCACTGGAGGTGGTGGACTCTCCTTCCTTGGAGATTTCTAAGCATCTGTCATGAATGCTTTAGCTGAGATTCTTGCATTGCAGGGCATTGGACTAGATGACCCTCGAGGTCGCTTCTAACTCTTAAGATTCTATGATTCTCACAACTCATGTGACCAGGCGCACAAATAATGGTACCTAATGCCTCTTTACTGAAACACGGTTGGATTTTGCTGGTCTTGCATTCTGGGAGTACTCAAATAGGGCTTGCTTTAACCAGACATGTATAGGATTGCACTGTGAGTCTCGAAATGACAAAAAATACAACATTGCACAGTCCCCTCTTAAGTCTGCTGAAGAGCTGGCAGCCTGTTTTCTCAGCACTTTGTAGTTCAAGCCCAATATATTTACTACATTTTGAGTGCATGTTAACATCTGCAGAATTGGGGCTACTATAAGTACAATTGTAGTCAGTTGTGCTTCAATGGAGTGCCTGCTTTAAAATAAAACCCATCTTTGAAACAATATTTTATACATATTGTTTTTAAAGAGAAAATGTCTTTGGCACACAGGTTACAAAATACCTGAACGGAAAAGACAAATACCTGAACGGAAAAGAGAATTTCCTCTTACCATTTCTGCAGCTGAAGCTAGCTTTTAATTTCACTACTGGACCAACAACAGTAATCACTCCCGGGCAGAAATCTTTTAAAAAACAAAACAAACTTGCAAGCAGTTTTCACAACATATTTGCTTATAGCGTATGGTAACTTTCATAGAATGTGTGTCCTTGATCTGCTTTGTAGTCTAAATGGTGCTCTAGTAGGTTTTATTCTGATGCCTATTTTGAGTTAAGCTGAGAGAGCCATCTCTTGAGTGGTAGGAGGGAGGAACTACCGTATTTTTTGCTCTATAAGACGCACCAGACCACGACGCACCTAGTTTTTGGAGGAGGAAAACAAGAAAAAAAAATATTCTGAATCTCAGAAGCCAGAACATCAAGAGGGATCGCTGTGCAGTGAAAGCAGCAATCCCTCTTGCTCTTCTGGCTTCTGGGATAGCTGCGCAGCCTGCATTCGCTCCATAAGACGCATACACATTTCCCCTTATTTTTTAGGAGGGAAAAAGTGAGTCTTATAGAGCAAAAAATACGGTAATTGCCCTTAAGAACAGAAGAGTTCTGATGGGCTGCAGCTTTTGTTATCTGTCTGGTTTCTTACCAACAGCACAACCTTAACCATGTCTACTCAAATGTAAATCCTATTGAAGTGTAGGGACGCAGTGGCGCTGTGGTCTAAACTATGGGTAGGCAAACTAAGGCCCGGGAGCCGGATCCGGCTCAATCGCCTTCTCAATCCGGCCCGCGGACAGTCCAGGACTCGGCATGTTTTTAATGAGTAGAATGTGTCCTTTTATTTAAAATGCATCTCTGGGTTATTTGTGGGGCCTGCCTGGTGTTTTCACATGAGTGCAATGTGTCCTTTTATTTAAAATGCATCTCTGGGTTATTTGTGGAGCATAGGAATTCATTCATTTTCTCCCCAAAAATATAGTCCGCCCCCCCCCACAAGGTCTGAGGGACAGTGGACCCCCTTGGAGGTTTAAGTATAATATGTTGGTATGGGAAACTGTCGTGTAACGGGCCAATGGCCGTAATAAAGATCAATCCAGTCCAATCCGGCCCCCTGCTGAAAAAGTTTGCTGACCCCTGACTGAGCCTCTTGGGTTTGCCAACCGTTGCTGTGTCCTAGCTTCTGCCAACCTAGCAGTTGGATTCAACCCTGAGCAAATGGAATTAAGATTGCAGTTTAAATTACACTGGGATAGCAAATACTATTTGTTTGCAGCCTGCATGTATGCGGTTATAACATATTCACTGCTCCTATGGATTTATTACTGGAGATAGAATTTCTCTCTTTAGGGAAATGCAGGCTTATGGATTCCCTGGTCTTTATCAGCCACTTGGAGGTTATCCATACTTCCTCTTGTGCAATGCCTAGAAAGCATGGGTCCAGGCAGTTTTCCACATGTCCCATACTTTCTAGGCAAGGGTCATAAAATCATAGAATTGTAGAGTTGGAAGGGACCCCGAGGATCATCTAGTCCAACCCCCTGCTGTGCAGGAATCTCAGTGGTTTTGCCCTTGCCTTTCCACTTTCCCATGGAAAACCCGCACTTTGGCAATAAATCAGAGCAAACATCAGTCTGGAAAGAACCCAATTGACATTTGCTCTGATTCAGCAGTAAATATTGGATTTTCCCAGGGGAAAGCAGTGGTGCAAGGGCAAGTCTGGATATGATCTTAGTCTCAGAAGAAGAGTGTTATTCTGTCCACACATGATGCAGGGTCCAAAGTAACTGGTTTCAGACTTCTCCAATCTTCTGCTGTCCTCCGTCTTGTTGTGAAGATCAGTCAAATTTCTCCTAGGTGCTCCTGTAGGAGAAAATCTAGTCCAGGGGTGTCCAAATTTTTTTCAGAGGGCCAGATTTGATGAAGTGAACATGCATGACCTTTTTTTTTAGGATTTTACCCCAAAGTTGTTGAGCTTTTTTTTTTTAGAACCACGGAGAGGAACTGTCTATGAGGGCCAGATTAAACCGACCATCAGGTCAGATTAGGCCCCCCAAAATGGACTTTGGATATGCCTGATATAGTCGCTAGCTGTATGAGAGACGTGAAAAGGAACAATGCTGGCTTCCGTGCTCTCCCTGAGATAAGAGTCCATTGCGATTGCAACCAACAAAAGAGACAGTCCTGTGTCAAAGAACAACGAATCAAACTCCTCCGCAGTGTTTTTCATGCTCTGATTACTTCCCTGTGGCGGAATCATATGGTCCAAAAGGAAGCCTTTATTTTATTGTCTGTGTGTGGGAGCTAGCCGCGTGCTTAAGTGTTTTGTCAAAGGCAGAATGCTTTTAAAAGGCTTTCAGTGTGTGCTCACTAACAAGTAAATTGTACATGGAAGACGTGAGCATCCTTTCTGCTGAGACCTATGTCACATCCGCTCTGTTTCTTAGTGAAAATAAAGCCTACAGAGCAGATGCTGGTAATGTGGCTTATCAAATGGCCCGTTCCATCAGTGTTGCCCTCTGGGTGAAAATATACTTAATATCTACTTGGTCTTTTGTTCTTATCTGTGTTGCTGGCATTAGTGAACATAAAGCTATATGCGTTTATTTGGTTCAGATATCCTTGGGTTATGAAGATGTCGTTAAAGCCTGATTTGTGGGGGGTTGGGATGGAGACTTAGGGGAAGGAGAACAAGTTAAAGCATGATATTAAGCAAGTCTGTACAGCTGGCATGAATCCCAATTTATGTGAGTGTTCTTCCTCTAAACCAAGGATGATTGGGAATTTTCTGTTGTCTTGCTATGTTGTTAAAATGGAAATGTCCTTACATTAAGTTACTGAGGTTACGCTGGCGATCTTGTACATTTAGAATTTTGTATTTGCATAAGACCTTGTTCTGGTTTTTTGGACCTGCTTTTTGTGTTAATGTACTATTAGGTTCCTCTAGCCTTCAAAATGGTGCTGGCTAAGCATAACATTTAATAAATAGCCCCTTTCTCTTGCTCATTTGAAGAGGAGGAGACAATGTCTGAGAAATCAGTGGTATCTGCCCTCGGGGAATAGGACACAGACATTGGGTGTCTCTCAGTAGCAATATTGTGAGGGTAAATATAATGAAGGGAATAGATTAATTAAATGGAGAGAAGACCCGAGAGCTGCTTTTTTCAGTCATCTCAGTCCATTTAATAAGAAGAGGTGGAGAGCTGAGCTGGGAGAAATAGAAATGTAAGCAAGATGTAAAATGGTTGCTCCAAAGGTCCGGTGGAAAGCTCTGTTTCTGTGCGTACAGATGAGCTCCTTCCTCTTTATCTTCAGCTGGGCAGGGGAAATATGCTTTGAGTTATAAACATGGAGAAGAATGTGTGTGTGTGTGCGCGCGCGCTTAGATTTCTCCAAAGGTTATGGCATGTGTAAGATAATATTTCTCTGCAGAAGAATGTTTATTGTTAAGAAAGAGGGTTTATTGCTTTTGATTTATAGTCCAACATATCCCAAGGTGATAAACATTATGTTTGTTTAAATAAATCTTTATCAGCAGTGGAAGGGACACTGTTATTCATACCATTTACAGAT